AAAAAATTTTTTGTAAAAAGAGTTTTTTTTTTTTTTTTTTTTTTTTTTCGATATGGAATTAAATCATAGGAAAATGTTGTCAGAACACTGAAATTGAAGAATAATGATATAAAAGGAAAATTTTGAAAATTAATATTGGTTAAATTATGATTTATTTCATAAAATACAAAGGTAAAACATATATACTAAGGAAAATATTTGCATAATGTAATATTTTGCATATCAATTTTGCACCAGTAGATAGAAAAGGCCTGTTCTGCGTCATGTGGCGCTCTGGCGCTGGGACTGCGTGGCGGTCACAGGGGGGAGGGAATTAGGCACGCGATGGTTGCTACGTCATCAACCACGCGGCTTAACCCCGGACGACTTGCATCCTGTTCGTGACGTCATCACGCATTGTCACCTCGGATTATCTTGCTATTGCTACGTCAGCCGCCTGTTTCATCCTGTTTGTGTTGTAATCCGGTTTCATGTCCGCGCATATCTATTAACGCAAATCCGCCACGTGATTGCAACATCCTAGAAGTTTCTAGTGCATTCTATTCAGTTCAGCAACGACCGCTAGAGAGCAGTAGTCTTACCCATAGTGCATGCCGATTGGTTCTCGTAGATCCTGGCCAAGTTATTAACCATTATTTTAATTGATTATATTATTTGACTTAATAAAGTCGTATTTAATGGAAAAAGTTCATGTATTTGCACGAGTTTTAAAAATAACCTGACGGCTGGGACTTGAACCCTACAACTACGGTATGGGAAACGTGGACGATAACACAAAGCCATGCTTTTGTCTTATGAATCCTATTATTTAACTGTGTCCATCCTCTTCGTGCAACTGACTTTGTACAACGGACTTTGTTCAAAATTGCTTAGACCTTTGTACATCCTCGATAATGAATGAATTCATAACTTTAAATTTATTTTGTTTCTATTTTAGGTTAAGATATTTTAAATTTCTCTTTTCTTTATCTTACAAACATAATTTACGTAATTTTCTTTTCTTCTCGCCGTTAAATTAAATGTACTAATTTTCACACCATATTTTTTATATACAAACATAAGATTTTCTTTTCTTTCCACATTTTTAAGTTTTACATTCTTTTCCCCTACGTTTAACTTGCAAAAGTAATAGATTTTATAAAAGTAATACGTTTTCACAATTTTTAATTTTTTTTCTCTTTTTATTTTACAAAAGGTTTTTTCTTCAGTTTAATCTTTCCTTTCCGTGTTTTACATTATTTATTTTTTTACAAAAGTTGTACTTATTTTCATACGATTTTTTTTCTTTTTTTTTTCTTTTTTTTTACGAACTCGGTCTTTTTTCCTCTATATTTTACTTCAAGAAGTAATTTTTAATTTTTCTTTTATATAAAATTGTTTTTTAAAAATTCTTTGAAGAATTTTTCTTCTCTCATTTCTTTTTCTTTTCTTTTATTTTCATTTTCCTCTAAGGTTTTTCTTAATGTTTTTTTTTAAATACTTATTGATGTTACACCTCCATTTCTCGAAGCGTAAAGTTACATATATATTTCTCTGTCTATGAAATTTAAGCTGGAACTTACACGCATATAATTTCCCTCTAGAGGTTTTCATGGATAATATTTTCTGTAAATTTAAACCAATAAGTAAGATGTTCATTCCATATAGCTTAACTGGTATATTGTATTTCTTATTTTTTTACGCTACTAATACCTAGATACGCAAAACTTTCTGTTCTAATGTATTTCACCATACTTAACAGGTTAAACATAACAGGTGATACTCAGAACTTTCTCTTCTAATGTATTATACTAACTTTTTGAAACACTATACAAAACGTCGCAGATTCTCTTTTACACATCTCATTTTGTTCAAAGGATTCACGAAATGTGTCAAAAAATGTAAATTTTAAACTTTCTATTTTCCATTTAGACATTTTGCCTTACATTTAACCTTTATCATGTTTTTAAAACATATCCCTGTTAATATTTCTGATCCTTTTTTCTCTGAAAATAAATAAAGACTTATACGGATTTTTTTCTACTGACTTTGAATTAAACCTTATAATTCAGAAATAATAAATTTTCATGACATAAAATCTACTTAAACTGATATATGGACATCTCTGGCCAGTTTAGTTCAAATACATACGATAAAATACGAAATTTCTTACTATTGTCTACCCAGCAGCATTTCATTTCTTACTATTTTACACTACAGACATTAACATGAATATATTCAGAACACTCCTTTTTATTGAGCAGGAGGTTTCAGATATATTACTAACACAGATTGACTCTTTGAAATATTTTACAAAAATATCTTGGATTTTCTTGTACACATTGTATTTAAATCACCGAACATACGTTAAATTTTGATTTCTATCACGTGAAAACTCACCCGGATTCTTAATGTGATCCCACCATTTACCGCAGACCTTCATAAACACTGCTATATTTGAACTTAACACAGCCATAATTTTTTAACAATCTACAGAATTTTTAACTACAGAGAAGAATATCCACATTGTAATGTAATATTTTAAATTCACCATATAGCTATATTTATGTAAAACATCTAAAAAATAGGGATGTCTATAATATACATGGAATTCAGTCACGGAAGTGAAACTGTCATCTTTTTCCCAACATAGAATATAAAAATTTCTCAGTTCGCAATATTTTTCCCCCCAAATTGTATGATCATTATTTTTACAAGTCTAATATATTCCTTCTAACTTAAGATATGTATTTCAAATTGACAAACACTGAACTCTTACAGCTTTTTGAGAAGGATTTTTTAAGTTATGATACATAGCAAATACAATCCTGCACAACAGGAAATACTGGCATGAATTCCAAATAATAACCCAACGTAACTTTAATATATTCAGTTTAACTGAAGATACGCATTTCAAACTGACATTGCTTTACTTAAAGTTCTTACAGATCTTTGAGTACAATCTGATAATTAATTTTTCACAGATATCAAAAACATTTTGCATAAATACTATACAAAACATATATTATTGACATGAACTCCATATCATGGTTCAACATCGGTAACTTAAATGAACTTTTAATACATTTTAGTATGAGTTAATTTAAAAAGAAAAGTTCCAATGCAAGTATTCAAAACAGAAATGCTTCACAAATTTCAGATAAAATAGGAACGGAATGAACCTAATTGATAATAACGTAAAAGCATGCAAAGGACTATGAAAAGCTACATTCTTGGAGGACATTCTATTTAGCACATGGGCTGAATTTTTCCTTTTCAGATTAAGCAAACATTCAAGAGAATACCTATATACCTAGAGGTATTATTTACATTAGTTGGCAATGTAATTTATTAGAACAGCCGGAGACATATTGGAGAGGTATGCAATATCCATGAAAAAAACTTTCTCCCACGCCAAAGAACAATAGTGAAATATAACATGTAAGAAGGGGGGGAAGTGTCAGATTTCTAACAAAATTAAATTAAAAGTAAGCACTCTTTCTTTATATGTGAATGAGAAAAACACCAAATATATTATTTTCGCTAAAACTGAATTAAAAAATTGCTTATCTGATAGATCTATAGCCAAAAGCCTGTAGCATACTGATACGAAAACAAGCGAATTATTCCTTACCTTTAATTCAGTAGTAATTACTGTCTCTAATGTGGATGCTCCGGTAAAATATGGCCTTAATTTATTGATAAGGGTCCATGCTATAGGTTTGGTAACTCGAAAAATCCAATAAAAGTAGAATCGTTAGCATCAAATACGTTATTTCTATTTCGAAACACTCGAGTTTTTCGCAAATCTTAAGAAAATAAAATATCCATTACGTAAATTTCCAAAAACTATTCGTGAACTCTACTACCTTCAGCTTAGCTCAAAAACAACATCAGAAAGTTAAACGGCAGCTACAAGCTGACGAAAAAATTTCCGACGAGTCAATCTTTGTAATGATCGAAATGATGACACCAGACTCGCTCTTTGTCGAGTAGATCCCCCAAAACGACCGGTTCTTCCATCTCGATGGTATCCAGACTAGGGCCCCTTACTTTGAAGAAGGATGTCGATGTCACTACACTGATTGAAACTAGTCGAAAAGAGCAAACCTTGTAGTACAGTAACCTTAGCTCTAAGGACTTTAATAAACTTTCAACACTTGCATCAAAGCGTAAATGTTTTTCAAAAACAGATTACATATATTTTGAAGATTTCTTGGAATCAAAAAATAAAGATTAGCAAATTGCTAACATTAATAATGTAGCTTCTGCAGTACTTTGTTTCAAATCTTTACCGAATATTTAGATTCGTATTTAGATCATGTTCAGTTTAATTGATTAAAGCAAAGCATTGCGAGGGTTATCTGACAATCAAGAGGGATGCTTTTGGGAAGTACCTTTTAGCAAAAAACTGGCTTGTATCCAATTTTCAGCGGGGAGAACCACGAAAAATCCCAAGCAAGGAGACCGTTCACTCAGATTTAAACTAAGTAGAACTACCATATTCAGCGACTGATGGTTTTCGGCCGCTGTTTGATCATGATAAAGTATTTAAGGACTATCTGCCTAACAAGAGGGATGCTTTCGTCAAGGACATTTTGAGGGTACTGACTTGTTTTCACTTTAAACTTGAGACATCTACGAAAACATTCATGGAGACATATGTTGACGGAGATATGAACACAGGATGAGTTACTGATATCTATTGAGCTACTGCTATTTATTATTTAGTATTTATCTACCTGGGCAATGACTCCATTTTTTTTTTTTTTTATCTATGTCGCTTCTCTTATAATTTAAAATTATTCTTAGGCATAATAGATTTTTAATATTTCTCCATGTACATTGTATTGATTAATAGTTAATTAATGAAAATAATAACTTTTTAAGGAACTTTTTTGTTCACACTTAAGTAGACAGAATATTTAGCATTATCTAAAACTTTTGCAGCAATTAAATGCAAAATTATAAGAAAAGTAAAATCGCGTTGTTTCGTATTCCAGTTGGCATCACTCAAACGGTTTGATGAAATCATTGACAAAAATACTTATCTTAATTTTGTGTGTCGAGTGCGGATTTTGGGAATTCTGTCCTTTTTGTTTGTAGCTTTGTCATTGCGATAATTAAAATAAATAAATAAATAAATAATGGCATTTCTGCACAATCGTCGCGATATAAGAGCACAGAGAGTAGAATGGTTTGAACTTTTTGGTAGGTTAGGGGTTAGTGCAGCCGGCTATCCCTTGGAATACGTGAAAGTGTTGATTCAGGTATATAATGTAATATTCCTGACTAAATATTTTTCTGCTCCTCACAACCTTACCAATATTTCTGCTTATAATACTTTGTTTGCTGTGTTCCAACTTTAAGCATAGTTTTCTTATTTCATCAAATTTGTGGATATGTCACGGCCAAAATTCTTACATTTAACGTACGTTCTGTGAGAATTTGAAGTTTTACTTGTCTGATGCCGGCGCACATTCATATACAGAGGCTCCCAAAAGTGTTCCTACACTTATGATTTTCATTGAAATAGGGCTGTATCCATTAATTAAAAGTAAACATTCTGAATGAGATTTTAATAATAAGATCTATAATCTATTCCTAACAAAATAACATGAAATATATTTAAAATATAGCGACACTTTATTTTTAAGAAATTAATAAAAAAATTACAAACATTTTATCTCGCAAAAGTCTTCATACACTTCAAAAAAATCTTGATATTTTAGTAAATATTTTCCTTTTTTGGTAAATTAATATTTAGTAGGATATTCTTTAGCATCCACAACAGCTTTTAAGCATTTGGGAATACATTTTACTAGTTTTTTTGTAATTTCTGTATCAATGTTCATCCATTCATCCATCATGACTGTTTTGAGTTTGCTTTCCGTTTCGATGTTGTGTTTTTGTACTTTAACCTCCAATTCTTTCAGAACGTGTTCTGTGGGGTTTAAATTTGGCGACTGAGGTGGTATTTTAAAAATTTGTGACAATTATAGAGACACCACAGGCGAATGTTTGGGAGTCTTATGCTTTGGATCGTTATCATGATTAAAAATAAAGTTGTTTGCAATACCCAAATTTTGGGCTGATAATTTTAAATTGTCTCTTAAAATATTTAAATAAAGAGAATGATTCATTATGCCATCAGTAAATACCAAATTACCAAGTCCTGATGCTGCCATGCACCCCCACACAAGAACACCTCCACCGCCATGCTTAACTGTTCCAAATAAGTTCTTAGAATGAAGTTCCTCATTTTTTCTTCTCCATACAATTATTCGACCATCGGAACCAAAAATGTTAAATTTGCTTTTGTCAGCAAATAGGACATTATTCCAGTACGTTTTGGATGTATTTATCATTGATTTTGCGAATGAAAGCCTAAGCTTTCTGTTTTTTCTCACTACCAAAAAATTTTTTATGGGCAGAAGGCCCATGTAATCCAGCTTCTCTGAGAACTCATCGAACAGTTTCAGGTGAAATTGAAGAAAACATTTTGCATTCAATTCTGCAGAATCTTTTACAGCACTCATACGTGGGTTTTTCACAAATTTTTTAATAATAAATCTCTCATCACATTTAGTTAAACTTTCTCAGTCGACCTTTTCTTACCTTGTTTTCAATCCGATTTTCTTCTTTAAAGCGTTTTATCACATACTACACTGTAGAATGGGATAACTTAACTAATTTAACGATATTTCGAATTGATTTACCACTGCTATGGTGAAAAATTATCAGTTTTCGAATGCTGTTTGTAATTTCTTTACCACTGTGACCCATTTTTCAATAATAAATAAAATATTATGAAGTAAACAATAAAATATTAAAGCAAATGATTTTTTTAAATGCCACCACAATGCAAAAATTAAAAAAGTGGCAAATGATAATTCTAATTTTGATTTTATCCAAAAATATTTCAGTGTATGAAGACTTTTGTGAGATAAAATGTTTGTAATTTTTTGATTATTAGTTTCCTAAAAATAAAGTTTCGCTATATTAAAAAAAATATTTCATGTAATTTTGTTACGAATAAATTATAGATCTTATTATTAAAATCTCATTCAGAAAGTTTACTTTTAATTAACAGATAGAGCCTTATTTCAATGAAAATCATAAGTCTACGAACACTTTTGGGAGCCACTGTATATGACATAAACTGCTTCAGTTTTATTTATCCTTTTTCATAAGCTCAATTCTGTATGGATTTATTTCTGATATTTCTCTATTGTAAGAGAAATTTTACCATTTTATCTTTCTAAGACAAATGATTTTATTTTATTATTTCTGTGTGAGGAATGAACACAGTTTCAAGTTGAAATAGAGGAATCAAAATGAAATACTTGAATGAGTTAGTTATATTTTGCATATTTTCCTGACAAATTTTACAAAAAGCTAAGATTTTTGTGTAAGGTTTTACAAAAGAATATTGCGGATTCATAAACAATGTCTTTTTATTTTGAATGAAAATTAAATGTATTGAATATATAATATACAGGCTGTCTAGTCATACCCTAAGAATGTTCCTAACCAGTTTCATTTTATTCAAGCTTACCTAATGAACAAGTTGTTAAAGCTGTGAAGGTAGACCTTGTAATTGTGGTTTCAGGATTGAACGAGTTCACGAGATGAATTTCAGAATTTTCTTCATATGTTTAAGTGTTAAAGCATTTGTTCATTTCACGTGTTAAAGTACTTGTTGTTGTGATTTATCTCCCTTTTCAGAGGCAAACATCAGAATAATTTCACAATTTTTATCATGACAAGGTGATTTGTCGCTGCATGCCTAGTAAGTGACAGTTTGATAATGACAACCAGCTCCATCCCAATTTTGAAGGAGAATCACCTGAGAGATTGTCTAAGGATCTTCTGTTCCTCCCATTACTTAACAATTCAAGAGAATATTCAGCTGTCCTTATATTTTAAGTTTCTGAATGCCATCGAGAGACTTACAAGCATCCAAGCTTTCTAGGTATTTAAACCTGGGCCTAATTATATGGTTGCCAGTGATGCTGACTACTAAACTAGTTAGGACCTGAAAAGTACATGTGTATGAAGAGAGAGATGCTTCTGAAGATAACTTTTTAAGTGAAGTTAGCTGGTGCTCGTGTTACATGTGGGAGGCTTTAAAATAGCCGTGTGGGCAACTTGCTTGTTATGATTTTTTCTGCTTGTGTATTTTAAAAATATCATAATTACTTCAGAGAGTCTTTCTTGAAAGCATCTATCACTTTAGATTGATATTTTAGTATACACTGCATGATTTTATTTATTATGCAAATTAGTTAATTCTCATTATCAGAGCTGTAAATGTTTTTGCTGAAAAGAATTTACCATCAAAAACTGAAAACATAAGGGGCAAAATTGGGCATTAGCACCACCAGCACAGTAGAAGTCACCAAATTTCCAGAATTATACGACTCTGGGAAATCATGTGCATAACAGTTCTGCAGTTTTAACAAGCAGATTCACAACTTATATGTATTATTTTTCTGGCATTGTATAGCAATATAAGTATATATATATATTAAATACAGTTTTAAAATGGAAGAAATTGTAAAATGTTTTGGCTACATAGTGTGAAATTATTAAAAGAAACAGTTGCTATGAATTCTTAAAGTAATGTATTCCTAATTAATTTTTTTAATACAATGAGAAGCAAAATTTATTATAAAACAAAGTATTTCATAGGTTATACATTAAAATCTATAAAAATGTGAAAAATAAAATTTGGGTATCGAGTTCAAGAGCACTGAATTATAAAAGAGTTTAGTCAACAAGAAATTTGCAGTAGAACGGAAAAAAAAGGCCTAATTGTTAACCCAGATTTATTGATTTTTTGGATAAATTTAATTGAAGGTAAAATATGTATGAAATAAATATTTTTTTTTTTTTTTCATGTACAAGTCTTTTACTTCTATAAATGTAGACATACTCTGCCAAAGGGATTTTACTAATATATAAGTATCTCAAAATATTGAGCTTTTTTTATGTGAGAAGTTTAACTGGAAAGAAAATGGAACATTAGATGTGTGCAAATCATTATAATATAAGAAAATTTGTGAAATTTTTTTAAATAGCATTTTTCTATACTTTTTATGACTACCATTATTGATTTCATTGTGGTTACCTTTTATAAATGTTTTCATAATTGTGTATGAATACACACACATAAATTAAAAAAAAAAAAAGTACTTTTTGATTATCTGCATCCCCAGTTGTAACATGGTTGTGGTATTTTTGGCATATTAGTGAGTGTGCATGTGATAATAATCAACCTGTGCTTGTGCATAAATGTTTTTGAGTATGCATGGAATTGTTAACACTCATTTCAGGAATTAGTATTCCCCTACATAGATTTTTTCTGGGGCGGGGGTTAAAGCTTGAGACAAAATGTTTCTTCTTCTCAGTATTATTAATGAACAAAACAGAACCTATGGGCCTTAAAAATAGCCAAGTTTTTTTCTTAATTGACAAACTCATCAGTGAATGAGTGACTTTTCATGAGGTTTCATATAATCAAAAATACCTAAAAAAATTAAGTGCCTTTTAATTTGTACAAAAGCTATAAATATTCTGTATGAAATAAGTGAATTTTTTTTTTTATAATATATGATTATTGCTGTTGTGAAAGAGGAAATAATGGTTATCTTATTAGCCATGGGTTTAATATTGATCAGATTGTCCTACAGTTTGGCAAGTACTGATCATTTTATGGTGTGAAATGTTAAAACACTAATAATTACTTACAAATATGTTGCCTATGCTATATTTTTGTAAAACTGAAAATAACGAGTAAAATAAGGAGTATGAAACTTATGCAAACATTTATTAGAATTGTATAAAATGGAACCAAAAAATTATTTCAGCTGGATATTAAAAGTATATTAGAACATATTTACATTAAATAAAAATCAGTTTTACTTTTGCTGGCATTACATTTTTCATTTGATTTTATCTTCAACAAAAATGTTAATCACAATATCAAATGAAAATGCAGTGTCAGATGTTGATAAAACTGCTAAAACATTCAATCTGCTTTCAGGCACACTTGAGCGCAAGTATGTTTAATTTCGTTTCAAGCATGAGAATTAATGTTCCGAGGAACAGTTGCACACTACTGTTTATTTGTAAATTTATAAAACTATATTAATATTAGTAAAAACACCAAGCAGATTCTGATCTGTAATCCAGTTGCCCATATTGTTAATATTAACATGTTTTTTGTCCTGTAGTGCCAAATGCTGTTTGATGTGCAAGGTCTCTTCTGCTAGGTTGCCTGAAGTACCCTATGAATAAACTTCACATACTTTTAATGCTTCACTCCTTATTTCACCACCAGAGTGTTCATGAAATTGAAAGAGAGCGTAGAAAATTTCATTCTCTTGTATGCACATTTTTGACAGTCTGATTCCAAGATTAATCGATCTACATTGTAAGGAATATGTTTATTTTGAAACTTCAAATCTTCTTCATTGTTGTTACTTTCATTGAAATGTCGCTTTGTCTTTCTGGTACACTTTTTGCTTGCAGTATAGTTCTGCTCACCAAACAGTGCCTTGAGCTCCTCTTCACAGATTGTAATATTCTCACAAGAAAATAAAATAGATTAAGGATTTGTTCTGCTAGAGGTTCAAACCAACATTTGCATCTTCTTCCAGTAGGTTTTACTGACTACATTGATATAATTCAGAATATTACTTCAGAAAACGGTTATAAATGCACTTTCAAATCTGGTCATTCTTTTGATTATTACTGCTACTTCTGCTTTCATAATTGCCTTCTCTGAATTTCCATTTGCTATTGATTTCAAAGTATCGTGAATATCTTCCCACGATTTGCAAAAAATTACTTGCACAAACCCTTGCAAATATGCTTCTGTGTGAACATCTCATGGACCGGCAGACCCTTTGGTGTATTTGTATACTGTCCTTCTTCAGTTTCTCCCAATCCATCATGGATGCTGAATAGAGTTCTTGCAGAAAGGTATAATAATTTGCAGACTTATTGCAATAATGAGCCATCAAAGTTCTAACTAAATTCAGAGAATGAGCTGAATAGTGTATAAATTCAAAAATTTGTTTTCATTCTTAATTATTGTTTGGAGACTGGTTTAGGCTTCTGACATGTTCACAGCTGTGACATGTGACTGGCTTCTACAATGCACTAAATTAATTTGAAGAGATGCTGAGGTATTCATTATAGCTGTGTACAATTCCTCAGATTTCTGTTCGGTATTGAATTCTGAACGAATGTTAGGAATATCTCTGTTCACATTTCACATTCATGGACATATCTCACGACAATCGATAATTAAATATATTCACATAATAAATTCGCATGATAATCTGCATGTGAGATGCCAAGAGTTGAATCCAGAGTTATGCAGAAATATTTAGCTATTCTTATATTGGCAGATGTAACTTCTTCATACTTCTGAGCCATTGTATGTCTATTTCCATACTTCTGAGCCATTGTTTCTCTTATCTCCATACTTCTGAGCCATTGTATTTCTGCATACATTGTAGATAAAAGATGATTTGTTTTACTGCTACCTGGTCTCCCGTAATTCTTTAGGTCAAGGCTTCTTAAACTTTTTTCAGTCATAACCACTTTTTATCACCAAGATTTGCGCTGTCAGTTTTTTCACTTGCACTGTAATATACTATTGCAGTTTTATGTCATTAACTTAAATTTCTAATTTTAAGACATAGAACAGTCTGAAAATTTAACAGTAACAGATGAAATGACAGCATCACGTGCAAAGCAAGGAAAGTGAACGTTTATATTATTAAAAAGACTGCGTTGAAACATTTTCGTGTTTTTCTTTATCTGTATTGTCTTATCTTTATCTATTTTCAGATACATTGTGTAAAAATATTTGGTAATTGTAAAATTATTATAATATGTTAAAGAAATATCAAAACTGCTAAAATTTTTGGCCACCCACAGTTTAAGAAATCATGCTTTAGATGTTCCTTCAAGAATGGATCACATCCAGTTTATAGGAGGCATTAGTTTCTATTGTAACATGATCCAATAACTTCAGAGCATTTCATCAGAAGACCATTTGTTAACTTTCTTATGATGATGATAGTGCATTCTAAAATTTCTGTCCAATAGTATTTTTCTTGAATAATCTTTGCATGTAGTATATTGCTTAAATTCTTATTGGAAACTCTTGGTCTGAGAGCAGTCATAAAATTTTCGTGACTTATACATTGTTTATGCTATTCTACACATTGTTTCAGGTTTTTCCTGTCACTGAATCCTTTATCTGTGCAAAAGGATGAATCCACTTTGGATACTAAACAAAAAGGCCCACAGTAAATACTAACGTTTGTTTCAGAATAGATTAGGCATTGTCAATTTGAAATTTCACCATTTTGAAGCTCTCGTTTGAAGATTGTTGAACTCAAAAAATATGTTTGATTTTAGTAGACTTGTCTTGAATTCTGAAAATCAGAATCTGCATTTTGAGAGTAGCCATTTTGCATAACAAAAATCTATGAGGTTTTCATTAACAATCCACTTTGCAGAGTTATTGTCAAATTTAAAAGATTGAGACAATAATAACAATATTGGTTAATCTTCCTCCTCTCATTCATCATGGTGTTCTATGACATTTTAATCTTGACACAAGACCGAAAGAACACTCTCTCCTTTAATGTATGTTATCTTCGAATTCTTCAATTGGTGGTTGCAGGAAAACTCTTGGTAAAGAAGGAATCAATTTTTTAGATCTCTTCCAGATTTCCTTTTGTTTTCTTCATTTCTCCTCTGACTTTTTTTTCTATATTCCCATTTGCTTAAATGCTTTCCATCATCTGTCATTTGTGCATATTAGATCTGTAAAGCAGGAAAAAAGAAAGGAAGCAAACTATAAACAATAAAATTATAATAAGTTTTGAATGCTTTTGGACATTTCTACAATTCTAGTTGAAATATGATATATGAGCATAGGTTGATAATCACATAAGGCTATGTATATAAGACAGCCTATGAAGTATTTTAATACTGTTAAAAGCATTCCACGATCCACCAAAATAATTGAATAGCCAAAAAAAAAAAAAAAAAAAAAAAAAGTTTTTGGTTATTAAATTTTTTTTAGAGAGATTTGAAAGCATAGGAATGTCAATTTAGTCCGTGAATAAATTTTTGCAATTAGGTGAATTTTTTCTAATTAGTAAATGAAGTTTAGTAGAATAAAAAATTTAATACAGTTTTCAGAGTTTTAGGAATATTCTTTATAATTTATTTTGTAATGAAATTTAGTAGAATAAAAAATTTAATACAGTTTTCACAGAGTTTTAGAAATACTCTTTATAATTTATCTTGTAATTTATCATTATTATGCCATATTTTAATGTAATTGCTTTTAAGAATATATATGTGATTGCAGCAATTTCTTATATATTATTCACTTTAAATTTTGCAGATTGGACACGAGCCTTTATCACCTAGACCAACTCGTACAATTTTTGGACGCCCAGCTTTAGCTTTACCAGGAGTATATACATATAGTAAAAATAATTTTTAATATATTTTCAACTTTGAGTAAAAAACACCTGTTTTAAAAAATCTTTTCTCTAACATAGTTAGATTTTAAATTATTTATATGATTTACGTTTTAAAATTTTCATTTTCACAACATTTGAATTAGGAAAAAGTCATTAATTGTTGATTGTTTGTGCAAAAGTTCACTTTTGAACTGTTCTTAATGTTTCCAGAAATTATTTTTGCCTGATGCTGTACCCCTAATCTTAATACTCATAAAGCATCCCCTGACTTCAGTATTTGTAGGAAATTCATTGATTTCATCGTCATCATCTTTAGAAAGTTTATCTCATGATGTATTTAGACTCTTTTCAGAAAGTGACAGGCAGATGTTGTCTTTTATTATTAAATCTGCGACTTGAGGTTTTTGATTATTCTCTCTTTAAATGTTAATTCTTTGCAATTCAAGTTAGTTGGAGATGTTTTAATTCTTCATCTTTTATTTTAGCATTTATTAAAAAGTTGAAATGCTTAAAACAATTTTTTTGTCTTTTCTTAGATGTCCTTCCAAGATTTTAATGTTGCTTTAAATCAAAATCAAGGTTAAAAATATATTTCAGGGTCCCTCTTCACGAAAGTTGGCAGTTTTTTTGTGCCATTCCTCTTTACATCCAACACCCTCTTGACTAAAATGTCCAAAACATAATGCAATAAAACATAATTAAAACAAAAAGTATATAACCTCAATAAACTGCATTTTAAATCAAACAAGGAAATAACATAAGAATAAAAATACATGTTATGTAATCTACGCAATACAAAAAGGAAATATCAACTTACCTTATTTAAAAATTTCTGTTTCTTCGGTATATGGGACACACAATTATGTAATAGTATCCAAAAACTATTTAAAATTATCTAAACTAGAATCTATATACTCCCATTGCCACATAAATTCACAAAAGTAAAAAAGAAAAATATTCTCCATACTGCCAGATTAATCAATGGCATTTCTTTCAAAAATCCCCTTTTTTACACTTTACTTTTTTACACCTTTTTTTTTAAAAAACTTTTTTATACTTTCCATTGTGTTGATATAAGCTCTGGTTTCCAAATCCTTAAATCTTACTGCTTAGTTTACTGAGAGATGAACGAATCCATTTAAGTCTTCATTTACACAACAGTCAATCAGTGTTTTCTTTACCAATCGTTCTAAAGCGTACAGAAACTTCAGGTTAATCATATCACCAGCAGGTATTTTACAGTGTGAAGCACAAAATAAGCAATGTACTTCCTAACCAACATCCAACACATGAATAAGCCCTTACAAATATTTTCCCATCAGTCAAATTCACCACAGGCACGCAACCAATCACGTCGTAATAGGGTTTCCGTAACATTCAAACTACTCAGGTTACCATAAATGAAACAACAACTTGGGGATAATCCAAGTAGTACCCTAAAATATAGACTAACCAAATCAAGATGCTTAACGACTTCCGCTTGCTTGGCGGCATAGCTGTGTCATGTTGTTTCCATAGTTTCATGTTGAGTTCATAGTGTTCTCTGCAAACATTTACAGTTTGTTTATATTTTAATTTTATATGTGTACATTGCAATTTAATTTATATAATGTTATCTAAATGTTAATAAATTAAAACATCTTATTTCAGTGAAGCATATAAAAAAGGTAGATGGATATCTAGGTTTATATAGAGGTTTATTACCTAAACTCTGCACAAATCTTTTAAGTGGGTTTACTTACAGAGTTGTGTTAGAGGTAAGAATATATTTCTTCTAATAAATTTTTCATACATATTAAGATATTTTTTATGTTAGTAAGTGTTTGTCATTGCTATACCAAATTTTTTGATGTAAAGCAAAAGCTTCTTGCAATGATTATTCATTACTTATCTAAGTTTTTAAATGAACTTTGTAAATAAATTTCATATGTAATTTAAGTGATAGTTGAAATATATATATGTAATTGCATTTCAAAATTTTTTCTTAAATTTTAGATTACAAATCCTAATAATTATTTTGATAAATATTTTAGCCATAATGAGCAGTGTAAAAATATATAAAGTTCTTAATGTTTTACAAACACTTTTTATTCTTTAAATTTGAATCCAATAAATTATTGTATATCTTATAGTGTTCTCAAAATTATATGGCCAAAAATGAATATATATATATATATATGAAGATTTTATTATTCCAAATACCTGTTTCTTATTGAAATTCAGAAAGAAGGCAGACAAATTTTGAAATTTAATCAATGATCAAATAAAGAAAATATACTTTATGAGAATTTAATCTAAGGGAATTAAGGTTTTTGAAGATTAGGATTAATTATAGTGCTATTTTCTTCCTCAGTTAATGTGTAGGAATTCAGAATTTTTGCATATTGACATGGTGTAAAACATGTTCTGGGTTTATATAATCTATAGACCTTCTGTGTAGAGTATTATCATTTATGATATAATTTTTCACAAATTCTACTTTTCATGCTCTTTTATTATATATGCAACATTTTTTACAATCTGTACACTTTATTATCTATATGATATAAATATGATTGATTTTTTTATAGAGGCTGCCATCCTTAGATCCTGAAGAATTGTTAGAAACGCAGGAAGGTGAATTGACAGATGAGCAGAAAATCACATTGTATGCCCATGGTTTAATAAAAGAAACAGCTGCTCGATGTGTTATGATTGTAGTTAGTCATCCTTTTCATAGTAAGTACTATATAGAACTGATTTATGTTTGAATAGCCACAAATTAGTTTTTATGTATGGATATACAATGAATTAATATTTTGTATATTTATATAATATATTGTATGTAAAATACCATAGAATAATGTTTTGAATACCACTATTTGTTTTTATGAATTATTTATTTGCATAAATTATGTATTGCAATGAGAATATCTAAATCCCATTTTACATATTGTTATAAGTTTAGTGAGTTATCTCATCAAGTTTTTGAGCAGATTGAAATTTAAACTACTTTTATTTGCACTACTATCTTTAATCTGTCTTTTACTCTGGACTCATTCTGGGATCCAACATAATTTAAGAGAAAATCTGTTAAGTATTCAAATTCATTGTTGCATTGGTGTAATGTTTGCATGCTTCCGTTAAGTTAAAAAGTTGAAAACTGTTTAATATTGCAGAGGGAATTTTAAACAAATAATAAGTCCCAAATCTGTGCATCAAAATTCCAGCATGATCTAATATCCAGTCCTTCGAACCATTAGCCAGCTAGGAGGGGGGGGGAGAGATAAATAAAAATAAAAATTATGTGAAGAAAAAGGGCTCCCCATCCCTTATAAAGTCTGGGTTTAGAGAACATAATGCTCAACAAAAGGAAGCCGTTGTGCCATAAATATGATTTTTCTCTCGATTAACTCAGATTTATATGTGTCACTTTCAAACACCTGCTAGCTAAGGAATGGTATTGGCCAATGATAATACATTGATTGACATATTGATGTTGGCCAGGATTACACTTTTGGCCCTTGAGTGGTCGTGGAGGGTTGTATTTTTCTATCTGACCCAAACAATAAGTGAAGCCCAAATGTTGGCATATCTACATATCATCTTACTGAATTTAAGCTGATGACCTGAAATCCAGAAATTTGCAAAATCTGGAATCATTGAAGTCCTGATGATTCTGCATCTCAATCTTTGTGCTGTTGTACTTTTCTGTTAACAGGATGTCACTTGGCATTAAGCATAAATATTAGTGTGAAATCTTATTAGAGGTAGAACTGTAAACACTAAGGATATGTGCAGAATTCATGAAAAGAATTGCTTATTGTATTAAATCCAAGTAATTGCTAAAAAGAAAATAGAAATATAATACAAAGACTGAGATCCAGACGTGCTGGGATTTCCATTATTCCGAATTTTGGAATTTTCCAGATTTTAGATCGTTAGTTTAAATCTAGTACGATGATATGTACAAATTATTACAATATGAAATAATTGTTTTTGAAACAATGAAGTATTTAAGGGAATCAAAAGTTACCAAAAAACCTCATTATTTATTTATTTGATTTATTAAACATTTCTTTCAGTTTAAGCTAAGTTGTTGAAGTTTCAGTGTAAGCTAAGTTACTTCACATAATTTCTTGTTCAGTTGCAGAGTTCCATTGTTTAAGTTCTGAAATTGTTGGGTCAAGAATTCCCACTAAATTTTCAGTCAGAAATTTTTTCATTCTTAGCAACCTTTTTGTTACTTCAATATCAGGAGTGATATTTTCTGCATTTAGAACTACAGTATAGATTTCAAGTCTGTCTTGTTTCAGCATAGCTTAATTAGTGTCTGCTATACACTGTTAGACATATCATAAGACTGAAAACTGAAGACATTTGTTTCACTAAATTTTATCTTGCTTCTATTATGCTCTGTAAAAGTTAAGCCTGAATTATATTAATTTAGCTATTTATTATAATTACATCTATTTCTTGCATTGCTTAAAGCTTATTCGTATATTGAATAAATAAATTCCCACATATACTTAAAGTTTACCTAAATAACAAAGCAGTTATTCTTAATTCAGACAGCATTAAATGTAATCTTTCAGCATATGAATATTATTTACAAAATCTTTTTTTTTTTTCCCCTTAATGGTAAAAATTTCTGTTAAATTTCTCCTCATCAATACCCTTAATGTTTTGCAGTGCGTTGCCAAATGTAATGTCAGCATAAAAAATTGCCTTCCTGTTTGGTATTCAGTTACTAGTTCTTAAAAAAAAAAAAAAAAAAAAAAAAAAAAAAAATGTTTTAGACATTACTGCATGAGTTGTTTCTCAAGCTGCCATGAACTGATAATCATAAGGTGATGAAAGCAAAAAGTGACAAAAAATTATTGCCAGGTTAGCATCATGGATATAAGTTAGTAGGTATGAAATCAGTAATGATGGTAAATGTTTTGGTATGAAATGTATATGAAGCAGAAAGGTGGCTATTAAACCAACAAATTAATAATAGTATAGCTTTAAGCTAATTAATGATTATATTTCTTCAGCATGGGTTTCCTATTTAGTACCAATCTGAAATTAAGAATCAGAACCTTCCATATACTTATTATGAAAAATTCTATATAGTGCATGCATGATGCATTTAGCACATTCTAAAGCAGGTTGCTACTTTCAGAATCTTTCTCCCTTTTTAGAAAAAAAAATATAAAAATGAAATTTTCTGTTGGTCCGGAGGTTTGGGTATTGGAATATTCCAGATATTGGAATTCTAGATTTTGGACATTGTACTGCACAGAAATTCAGGAATAAGAATGCTTGTAATTATTTTCATCCTCATTTGTACACCTAACTGTAGCACTGTAACTCTAACTATACCCCCCCCAAACAAAGTCTTTTGGTATGGTTCACGATACCATTGTCTTAAAAGAGTTTTATTACAACTTTTCATCATTTGGCACTTGCTATATATCGTATAGTCCATATTTATTCCTTTTTAATCAAATTAAATAAAATAAAAACACCGTCATTGTCAATTTTCATTCTTCCCGCTTTCTTGTAACTACTAAGAGGAAATAAACAGGTTACTATTTTAGTGTAGAATTGCAGCTAAAAAATATTATCCTGAAATTTATTAAATTAAATAAAATAAAAACTCCATTGTCTAAGAGAAAATTAGTAGGTCAATTTTCATTCTTTCTGCTTACTCGTAACTACTAAGGGGAAATAAACAGGTTACTATTTTAGTGTAGAATTGCAGCTTAAAAAATATTATCTTGAAATTTGCAAGATGTTTTAGTTCTTTTTAAATTACAATTTAATATAAATAAGCAAAGAAATATTAGTTTTATAGCAATAAAACAAAAATCTCAGTCCTTACTTTGCTTTGCTCTGAACCTTGTAGGGTTAAAAATGCTCACATCCATTTTGAACATGCAATCATGCTGTAATGTTTACATGTCAGACGGATTTGCTGCCATGGCAGAAATCTGTAGCATCTGAACACCAACTATTCAAAAAACTAAATCATTTATCTGTATTTTGAAATAAGTATAGCAGTTTTAAAATCTCTCAGGTTAGTCATATGGATGGAAGATTAAATTTTTATGCTGTCTAATCTACATCAGTGTTCCTGTTCAAGAATTTTCAGATAATAATTAATTCTTTGAAATATGTTTCAAACAAGACCAACTGTATGTTTTGTGCACCTATAACGAAAGTTTATATGATGTCCCTTTTTACATAATGGTAGTTATATTTACTATAGTTTGTAATAATTATTTACTGTATTTTGATTCAAACAAGCACTCATTTGAAGCAAAACTGCTCACACATAGAAGAATTTATGTATAAAATTTATTTGTATATTTAAAGATATGAACAGAGTTCAGTAGTATTCTTTTGTTTTGACAGTTGCACAGAATTAGTAATAACTTGCACAAATGCCCAAACTAACTTTTTTCTAACTAGTCTCGTAATTTCATTTAAATACCATTTTTGAGCAAATTTATGGTGTATGTTATAGTAATTGCAGATTTCTTCCTTAAGTGTGTATTTTTCTTTTTTTATAGTTATAACTATCAGAACTATGGCACAGTTTGTTGGCCGAGAGGAGATGTATGGGTAAGTAAATATTATGGTTTTGAAATTGTTTCTTAACTGAATTTGAAAGTTATGATGATGTTATATCTGTAATACTATGTAAAAGATGTCATAAATAGTAAAAAGTGTGATTGTGCGAATCATATCAAGGCTTTTTTGTTTCACAGTTATAAATACGAAACAAGCTTTAATAGAAAAAAAAAAAAAAAAAAAAATATTTTCTCCCCAAAGGAACATAATGATAATTGAATATAAATCTAAAATACATTGGACTACTTATTAACCTGTACTAAACTCTGATTTTTTAAGTAGACGTTTTCTGCCTTAAGTTAAATAACTTTTTTCCAAATTTTTTTGTTCATTAAATTGCCTAATGTTATTTGTAGTGACCATACATTTATAATCACAATTTTGTTGTTGACTTGATGTGATTAATGTGTGTAAATGTGTGTGTAGGTATTTCACTTTTCATGTCTTAAAAATATTTTGTTAATTAGTTAACTGCAATGTTTTATGTTGTGCTTTTATAAATAATTAGCAAAAATTATAAATTTTGTGCTGAATACAATTTGATTCTGAAAATTATTTATTTTATTTTACAGTTTTATTGGTACTTAGTATAAATTAAAACCTAGCCATATTATATGAATGAAATATTCTTTTCAGAGGTATCTTTGCATCTTTTAAAGAGATTTTCCGTCAAGATGGTGTATTAGGTTTCTTTTCGTAAGTAGTCTTATTCATGTATGATAATTATTGTAATATTTTAAAATTTAGGTGTGTGATTAATTGATTTTTTTTCATTTCTGTTTGTTATCGAAATTGGTTGTTCATAATGAATTTTTGATTTCACTATCATCTTTGGAACTATATTTTGAAATCATAAATGCAAGAAACTGAGCACATGAGAAATATCTTTCAGCAAGATAATCAAAAATGCAAAACTAGACTCTCAAAAAACTAGATTTTGCAGATCTCCTTTTATACCACACTAGCTGTTACCGGGCTTGCATTGATATGTTACTTTAAGGAAAGAAAGTGCTTGTGTATGACTGAGCAATCAGTTTTTGTTTTGGTGTTATAATTGATTTCATGGCGAAAATAATAATTTGTGATGACTATTGTAAATTCACTTTCAAAAAGCAATAAAAATGCATGTGATGCAATAATATACAATCTAATGCATGAAAAATTAAGCATTTTATGCTTTGTTGAATAATACCACACTTTAAACATTTTAATTTGGGCAGTAGCAACCCACTTCTCTTAAATAGCCAGGTTTGTTTATTAAATTCAAGACCATATAATCGTATTTTCCCGAGTGGCAACACAATTTTTTTTTATATCACTGAGTTTTCTGATTTAATTTGAAACATATATATGTTACACTTTCTAGAGTGGCAGTGAAAAGCTTTTAAAATGCTGAGTATATAATCAGAGGTTTGTTGAATTAGTGTAAAATAAATGCATATAAAGAGTGTAGACTCCATGGGCATTTTTTTTTTAGAAATCTTATGTAGACGTAGACAGGATTTTGAAAGTTGAGTATTTCAAATGTCGTAAAGATAAAAATTAAACTGTAGATTTGCATGAAAGACAAATAAACAAACATTCATTTATATATATATATATAGGTACTATTCGGTTTCGAGGTCCGTAAAAAAATTGCAGCAAAAATGTATGCGCAAAAGTGCCAAATCTAGCAAACGCGCCCATTTAACAGCGCGCCAAATCTAGCGTACATGCTGATTTCAGATTGCATAAGTTTATATAGTTCTATATTTATTAAGATGGCATTGAAATACTAGTTTAATTTTTAAATCCTTTTTTGGTATTTTATGGATTTAACAATTTGGGAATTGCCCATGATGAAAAGTCGGCAATGGAATTTTGGGTAAAGTGCAGAATCGCCCACTGCTTGACACATTTTTTAAGAATTGCACATACTCGGTATCCATGTGCACATCAACCTATTTTCACTTAAAAATCCTATAATTGCACAAAAAATGGCACTGCGCACACCCTTGACTTTATCTATGTGCACATCGACCGATTTTCACTTAAAAGTAAAAGAAAATTGACAAAATCCAATTGTTTTTACTCTTGTAAAAAGCGGCAAAAAATAAGTGAGCAGTTCTGCACTTTACCGAGAATATTTTCAAAGAAAAGGCATCATTCATTATAGAAAATTACGTTTGAACAACCAACGAGATGAAATTATGCTTTAACGATAAGTCGGTAGGGAAATAGCGATGCAGGCATAAATTCAGTTATGTTTAGCAATTTTTATATAAATTATAATAATGATCTGAAATAGTTATTTACTCTTATGCTTCCATTCAGTCATATTTAGCCTTTTTCATATAAATTATAATAATAAAAAGTATTATATGAAATTAACCTTTCATCTAAATTCCTTTCTTGCTGCAATTATTTTTGGCAGCATTGGCATCAACAATAGTTTGGCAATTTTTTACGGCCCTCGAAACAGAATAGTACCTATATACAGTCAAAAGTATCCGGACTTGTCGGGACTTCGGCGATTCCGGATTATCGATTTTTCCGGATTATAGATCATCAGTTTTTAAATCTGGTAAGATGGGCATGCAGAAATTACAAATTAAAAATATGAAACCGTAATTTATGAAATAAAGAACAATTAGGATCTAAAGGGTATCAAAATTTACAAAAAGAAAAAGCTTAATATTTATTTGTTTACTTTATTAAACATTTCTTTCAGTGTAAGTTGTTTAAGTTGTTTCGTTTCATGTGATAATACTTTCTCTTTAATTCTATTAAACAGACATAATTTCTTGTTTAGTTTCAAAGTTCCGCTGTTCAAGTCCTATAATTGCTGTGTCAAGAATACCGACTAATTTGTCAATCGAAATTTTTTCGTTTTCAATAACCTCTGTGTCACTTTCTTCACTATCGGAAGCGAATTATAATGATGAGGAACTTTATTTAAATCATATCAAAGATGGAGTACATCGAGATGAAATACTAGATTTAGTAAGGAATTATAAGCCAAATAAAAATAAAAACATCTGCCCTGAAGATAAGGATAGTGCTGACAGATCGACTTCCAATTCATTGCGCCCCCCCTCCGCCGCAGGGCAGCGTGAAATTGATAAACAGATTTCGGATTTCGAAACAAACTTTCACTTTGCAGATCCTTTACATATTAGTAAATGTATATCGAAAATTCTACTTGACATAATCGAAAGTTCAAGCTTACTTTTATAAAATTGCTCTAACAATCTGCAAAGAATAATAAGCCGGATCCAATTCGAAGATTAAGGAACAACGCAATCTGCAACATAACTTAATTAGATAATTTTAGCTTAGCTTATACCGTTTGTTATACATTAAACGCGCATGCATGAACGTGTTGTTGACGCATGCGCAGAAAGTTTGTAGCTTTGAGGTCTGGATTATAGATCATTCCGGATTATGGGGTGTCCGAATTAACGACTTTTGACTGTATATATATATAGAGAGAGATTGTATTTACTTAATTTTTAAAAGATTTTAAGAAAATTTTTTAAATTAAATTCATCATAAGATTTTTAAGCATTTCTCCCTTTTTTCTATCATTTACAAATTAAAAAATTGCAGTTTTTTCTCCCGGAATAGTTTAAAATTGTTGTGGGTGGTAATTCAAACTTTTTTTTATGAAAGGAAGTGAGTTCCTTCGAAATATGGTCCATGTAATCCAGGGACTTCATGCAATTTCTATGTGGAGGGGCTTCATAAACTAAAATTAGAATTTGAATTAATTAATGTTATGTAGACTAAGCATAATATCTAAAATAATTAAACAACTTTTTTCATTTCTGTTGTTGTTTGTAATTATCTTTTATTTTTCTGCAGGAATTGTAATGGCAATTGATATATTTTCAAAGGGTAATAAAAATTCCATAAATAATTATTTTTTATGGGTTCTCTGACTTTATGAAGTTTGAAGACAGCTGGTTTCTAAAGCAACCTTGTCTTCATTAGGTAAACACTTTTGTTCAGTGTGGCCTTTTTGTTTTTCCTGAGCGGAAAAATCTTCAGTTTCAATGTTAAGAGAGTTTAACCCTTTAAGTGATATTGATTTTGAAATCATGAAGAATTATGCTTAAGTAATGCTTTTTTAGCTAAATTTATATATTAGTTTTTTTATTTCAAGAACTTCCATTCATTAAAATGATTTTTAGATCACTGCAGTAAATAAAGGAAAACATTTTTAATTAACAAAATAATGTAAGTCAAGCAACAATATATATTTCATGATTAAATAAAAGCTGTCATGTCACTCAGTTAGGTTTAAAATAAAATAAGCAGTAATGGAATTAACTTTTTAAGTGCTGAGGGAAATAACTGGAGAAGAAACATTTAGATAAATGTCCAGATGGGTTTCTTTTTATGAGTTACTTTCTCTCTACAAAAGGGTAAGAAATTTCTTTTGAATTGAGGGGGGGGGTAAAAGCAGATATGATGACTTTCATTATTTAGTAAATATTAAAGTGGTCACATCTTTATGATGTGCAGAAACATTTTTATGTTATTATGCAAAAAAATAAAATAAATAAATAAATAAAATTAGCTAAATAAGTTTTATAAAATTATTAGAATTTTATTAGAATTGAGTGACAAAAAAATTTGTAATGCACTCTAGCTGGCAAATTTTAGGAATTTCATGGTTATTACATGAAATGCAGAAATGCAAGGCCAGAATTTCATTGTTTTATGTGAAAAACTTTATTTGCAATTTCTGGCTGTCAATTTGGAAAGGTTTGCCTCCATTATTTTATGGTATATTGTTGATTTTTATTCTTTTGATATGAATGCCAGGTGATGATGGCAGATGGGAAAGATAAGCAGCACCTGTCGTTGTTCATTATTTGGCTAGGTGCATCCCACTTTAGATTGAGAACTCTGCAGGCTAGATAATCTAAGGGGATCATATGCACTTTCAGCTTGATGTATTTTAAGCTCCCACTTTTCACGAAGGAACTATACATTGACAAACATCTATGCATTTTCTGAGATTCAAACATGAGTTAGGTTTAAAATAAAATAAGCAGTAATGAAATTAACTTTTTAAATGCTGAGGGAAATAACTGGAGTAAGAAACATTTATTTTTGTCATTTTGCAATTTAGTCATTTTGCAATATTTAGTCATTTTGCAATGACTTTACTTTGAAGGTATTAAATGTCTATAAATGCTGAATTCCTTAAAGCATTTAAAAAACTGTTTTTCTGTAATGGCAGTGTCATTGACTTATTTTTGGAACTCTGAAATTTTAATTATATAACATATTTCATTGTATTTTTGAAGCTAAGAAACTGCATAATTTTCTTAAATATTTTGTAGCAATTAATATTTCTTCAATTATGTTAGTGGCCTTGTTCCAAGACTCATTGGAGAAATTCTTACTTTGTGGGTTGGAGCAACAGCAGCATTTTTAATTAATACATACATAGTAGAAGAAGAAGTAAGGTTTCTTAACTTTAGTATTTACTTTTGTGTGAAATTTTTTGAAAGAGCTTTAAAATTTTAACTTTTGCACTAAATTGGAATAATTTATTTCAGACATTGAAGGGCTATGTAAAAGCTTCTATGTCAGTAAGTATGTTTTAGAAATTTCTTTCAAGTATATATCATATTATTCTCACAAATGCTGTAGAATTTTCAATATCATGGCTGAATAATGACTACAGCCCATGTAGATGATTGATTCTCCTCCCCCTATAGCATTCAGATATAGCAGTTTCTGGTTAACTAGCACTATATCACACTAGACATGAATGTTATCTAATCTAAGACAGGATTGTGCAAAACTTAACTAATTTGCAATTCAAATCATATTGTTTGTTTAAAAGAATAAGCATTTAATTAAATTCAAAAAGCAAATTTCAAAAGTTCATTAAAAAATGAAAATCAGCACAGGAAGCTAAAGCTGCCAATATAATTTAATATTGCTCAAACACATTTGTGTCTTCAATGCAATCAGTGCCACACAAATTCAATTAAGTAGAAATCGTGTTGATGGTAGGCAGAGTTGCACCGATATCTATTTTGCCATCTTCACTGCCTTTCTACCTTTCAAGAGTTTGCATAAAGCTTCTAGTATCAAGATCAATAAAGTAGTATTTATGAATCACTTTTGTGATATTCATATCCAGCAGCTGCTGATTTGTCCATTTTATGCACCATCCAACAATCAAACTTTCTGAAATTTTGTTTTCTTTTGTTTGTACTGCTGCAATCAGTCCTCTTGCTTTACCATTATTTAACATGCTTTTGATTTGCTGCTCTCTTGATATGATATAAACTGGTTACCGCATTCAGCACTTTACTATGAAACTGCAACTTTTGTCCAATTAACTGGAAAGTATCCTCTTATATGGTTAGTATAATATTAGAGATGAGCAAAGCCGTTCCTTTAAGGGATCAATTAGAATCATATGCTCGGTCAAGTGAATCAGTTTTTTTTTTTTTTTAATGATTCACCGCTTACTAACAATGACTTTGATGAATGTGCTCGAAACAAGCGTGGATCAAGAGTGGTGTGCAAAGATGGGGGAAAAGCAGAAGCAACTGAAGGAATGTGAAAGTTGGGATCAACTGAACCAAAATTCTCACTCCCTGGTCTGTGGTCTTTCAACTATACTGTTGAGATTCCCTAAAAAAGACCTTTCTGCATGGAACAACAATAAAATTCTGAAATAAAAAAATGCTAAAAGTTAAAAAATAATGAAAACTAAACTCATTTTTGTTAAAGATTACATTATTTTAATATTATAATTAATATTTTGTTGCTAATACAAAGCACTGTGTAAAAGTAAATTTTTAGATTGGAGGCAGATCTCAATGAACAGGTGATTTTTCTTTCTTTCTTTCTTTTTTTTTTTTTTTTAAATCTAATTTGAGAAAATGATACCAGATATCATTCAAGGTTCTTCTATTCAGTAGGGTCTACATTTTGTTCTACAACCTTGAAAAAAAATACATTAGATAAAAAAAATTACATACTGATTCTCAAGAAGATTACAGAGAAATTCATAGCTCTTAATTACAAGACATTAGTAGAATAAGTAAATAAATAAAAATATTAATTTATTATTTTACATAATTATTACAGTAAAATTGTACAAAAAGGTAATACCGAATATTTACCTAATACCTATACTAGAACAAAGTATTCGAAGGATCTAAATGAATCTCAAAGGAACAATTCTAAGAAAGCAAAAAGATCAAATAAGCAAGACTCTGCAGGAGCCAGATTTGTGGCTAGAGCAAGAGCGATAAAAAGAGTGAATAATAAAAAATTAATCGGATCTGCAGCTGGAGCAGGAGTGATGAAAGAATGAATAATAATGACTCCAAAGGACCCAGATCTGCCACTAGCGCTGGAATGCTGACAGCTGGGAATCCGAGAAACTAGTTCTTCTAATCTACATGTTTTAAACAGATCCTCACACTACCAGAAGGGGAAAAAGAAATCTCCGTCCATTTGCAAACAGAGGTGGTCAGTTTCGCTGAGATGGTTTATTTAATGTTTTGTCTGTTAAATACTAGATTGGACAAAAGCAAACCCAAAGCACACATATATATATATACATAACACACATACACACATAAAAAATGGGTCGGAGATGTTTCTGGTAAATAATAAAGGAAAGACTGCTAGTGAAATTAAGAGGAATAAAATTTTTTTTGCCACTCTTCCCAACAACAGCTCTCAGTAAACTGTTAAAGAACAGCCACACCATTTTCTACAGAGTGCTGATCATTTATTCAGTAAAGTGAATTTGTTCCAAAGTGGATCATCCGTCTCTATATAAAACAAATGATTTTTTTTCCTTCTTTTCAATTATTAGATTTTATTTCCACATTGATTATTCAATTAAAAAATGTTTTGTATGTATAAAATAAGATGCAAACAACTTTTGGGACAAAATTAAGTTATGAAATAATTTTTTTAGTTTAATTTTTAAATTTGCCAACATGTTTGACTAAAATAAAGAAGTGAAATTAATTTTAATATGGGTAGGTCCTGAAACTAAAAGTGAAATACTGTCATTATTTTTAGTTAGTAAAAAATATTACTTTTGTGTTCTTGATAAGATACATATTTGCTGAATAGTGAATTCAATGCGAATATTGTGCACATTCATCTAAATTACTGCAATAACTTTGGTAGAAATATTTAGTGTATTCTGCTATCTTCTTATGCTGTTAAAATCATCAAGGGGGGGAGTGAAGAAGTTTAAAAATAAATTGAAGGAAATTTTATTCTGTTTGGTCTAGAAAGGAAAAATGGTAATCAGAATTCAATTGTAAAATACCTATTTATTCTCTGGATAACTTAAAATTCTTTACTGTGTCTATAGAATGATAGAGCTGTGTGGATACCTAAGATGTATAACGGAAGACACGATGCATGCATAAGGAAAGCTTAGCAGATGTTGCCATAGATTCGATACATGATTTTATTCCTTGATAACTAATTTTTAGGACACACATTTGCTTTACACATCATCAGTATGGGTGTGAATGCACTTCAACAATTTTATATAACTTGTCACATCCATAGACAATTTATGAAGCGAAGAAATAAGCATTGGCATGTAAAACAATTTGCATAGAATTTTTCGTGAAAATATAAATTTTAATTTAAATAATAAAAATTTGAAGATAATGATCACTGAAAGTAGTAAGTGTAGGAGAAAACAGGAAATAGAATTAGGAAAGAATTCATTTCTCACATATTTCAGCTGCAATAAGTCTTGAAAAAAAACCGGCATGTTAGTAATAAATTTTTTGCTTTGGAGAAAAGTGTTTAAATTTTTTTTGCACAAATTGCTCATCAGCAAATAACCTCCTTATGGTTTAAGCTAAAGCTTCATACCTAACAAAAGTTATGTGTAGTTAATATGAAGTTTTTGAAACTACTTTTTGATGAAATGAAATGAAATTTTGTTGTTAAATAGTGTCTAGGAGAGTATAGGAAGTTCATTTATAAAATATGCAATTCTCATGTAAATATTATTATTCAATTTTTCAATTAAATACAGATTATTTTTATTACTCAGTTTTTTTTTGGTAATCATAGAAATTAATTATAGAAAACAATTCTAGAAAACATAATTATAGAAAACAATTTTAGTCAAGCATTTTTATATTAAAATTTTTCGTTCCTGAGAAGTGTATTCTAATTTATTTCCAGTTTAATTACTATATATATATATATAGTGTGTGTGTCTATAAAAAGTGCTACATAACATTTAAATTTCTTTTTTATCAAATAACATTGGTAATCCAAAACCACCTGAATAAACATTCACATTCATAGTTTTGTCTTGAAACTTTACATAAATTCAGGCATAGAAAAGAAATGTTTAGGGGATAGAAGTGGAGTTAAAATGTGTTTTACCATCTGCTAGGTAGCTTAATGCACAGTTATTTTATTGTAGTAAAACAATAATTTTTGTTGATAGTATCAATTTGACAATAAAAATAACTGAAATTTATTATCTTTGTTGTTATTTCAAATGACATTGCTCAGGTGTTTTAGTAAACTATGTCAGAATTTGTTACTATTTAACCCCTACCCCCAAAAAACTGTTCTTATTCATTCAAATTCTTAATACATGTGATTTACAAAATATATTTTTATATTAAAATTTATGTACTTTTATATTAAAATAATTTTTTATCCATCTAGAAGTTAATGTAATGTTTTTACTTCAAAAATCTGATATTTATATGACAAATAATTATAATTTAATTAAATTTATTTTCATATCCAGTATTTTTATTTAATCTGGGGTTTTTAATTTCCGTATTGTATAGTGCTGGGTTGTACATTATTATTTGCTGAAAAGTAGAATGTTATTGCTACATATACTGAATTTACTTGCAAATAAGAATTCCTTCAATGTACGGCTTCCGTTACATTTTAGGATAAATTTTAAGAAATCAAAATGTAAGAAAAATTTGAGTGTAAATATGATTAAGATAAAAAGCAACCTACCTAATGTAAAGCAGTATTTTATTATGATGTTGAAAGAAAAATAGGAAAAATTAATGATGCATTATTCTTTGTCTTCATGCATACCAGCAACCAGTGTAGTGAATGCAACCTAAATCAAAATTATTAATCTAGACATGGCTGTTATAATCAACAGTAGTTGCATAGTTTACACATAAATTATCTGTGGACTTTATTTAATATTTAAACAGTATTATTATTGTGTATATTTGTGATAATTAAATTCCTTCTTATTCTGTAATTTTACTTGCTGGAAAACCCAGTTATAAGAACCTGCCACATTTTTGTTCTAAAATTTGATAAAATTTCTTTTCAATTTCTTCTTTATTTTTGAGTGAATAACAGTAATTTTAAGGTTATTACTTATATAATGTTTTAAAGGATAGATAGATAGTGACAGCACTTCTACCTTTCAGCAGATAACATGTAGCCTTTTAATTATGGCTTTATTATTTAAACTGCTAATAATAATAGAAGAAATTTCTATTATTAAGAAGTATTAGGTAATTTATGTTAATATAATTTATTACATGTTTAGATATTTTGTGGAATACATGTTACAAAAATTATTATTTATTTTAACATTATGATGGAAATTTATACAACCAAAATTACCAAAAATGCTTTACAATTAATCTCTAAAATTGCCAAAAACATGTTTTAAGTAAGAATATATTTAATTATAGAGAGATTAATAATATAGAGGCTTACAATCTGAAATCTGGATGACTAATACTTGGAATCATCTAATATCTAGACTTTTGGACAAGTAGCATAATTTTTTTTTTTTCTTTTACAAAATGTAGGAAAGGAAAATATAGTACCAAAGAAATATAAATGCAGATTTGTCATAAAAACCAATTTTTCCCTGAATAACTGTGATTCCTGTATGTCTCTTTCAGACACCTGCTGGTTAGGAAATCAATGATGATCAGTGACAGTACATTGAATGTTAGCTATAACCATGCTTTTGGCTTTTGAATGGTTGTGGAGAGGGATAACATTTTTCTATCTGATCTCAACAATAAGTTCTAAGATGCATTTGTTTGGAGTCAGATGCTGCTCATATTGGTTTCCTTTTGTTGACTTAGCAGCTGAGAAGAGAGAAAAAATTATATTGCAAAGAACTTCAGTTCAGTTAACAAAACAAATTTCACTCTTCGTAAACTTTTCTAATTTGATCCAACTTACTATTTTTTGCTACCTATTATTATTACAGCTATCTTATAAAAATTAAAGTTTGAATTTTCGGTTCTGGCAAAAAGAGTTTCTAATTCTGGAGTTGTAGCTGTATCTTTAAAGCAAAAGCATATTTGATAATGGCTTTTTCTATAGCAGTCTTGGCAAAAAGAAACATCATTGGTTCAATTCAGGCTTAAGACAGTTCGATTTCAAAATTCAGCAAAATAACAACCTCATTTTGGTGTAGATTTTGAACTTTGTATTAGAAGGCAAGATTTTCCATTTAAGGAAATTTGGAAAGAAATGTCAAGAAGTGGTTCTAAATGAAGATGATGTTGCAGAAGATCTCCATCTTGATGACAATGAGATGATCAGCATTTAACTAAAGGATGGCCAAATCTGCAGTATGTTTTTTAAATTGAAAAAAAAAAAAAAAAAAAAAAATATTGTTGCTGATAGTGAAGTTAGAGTTTTTGAAATGAATGAAAAGATTTCGATTTGCAGTTTAGTAGAAATTCTCTACACGGCAATTACACTGAAATTTTGTAACTGAGCAAGAAGTTTTGACTGTCCATAAAATTGAAGAAAAAATATTAGTTGAAGAAATGAAACAGCTTAAAAACTATTTTAATTCAAAAAAAAAAAAAAGTATACTAAAACAAGTGAATGAATATTTATTCCCCTCCCCCCCAGTGCTCTAAAATCTGGAAATTGCTGTAATTGCTGAAGTCCTGATGATTCTGGATCTCGGACTTTGTATTGTATTTAATTATAGAAAACAAAACTTGAGTTTTAAAAAATCCTCGAAGAGTGTATTTAACTATGTATTTTTATCACTATCATGCTTTATGAAGAAGTTGTTTTACATCAGTTCCATAAACATCTTAATTTTTAGGTAACTGATAGCAGAAAATATATTTAAAGTAATAAGTTTACTGATATATTCAGATAATTTTGGCAGATATAGTTAAGTTTTCTAAACTAAGTATTTGTTTAAGTATGCATGGTTTATCTAAATACCGTAACTTAAATTCAGATTTTTAAGATCGATAGTTTGAGTTTAAAAAAATGTTTAATAATCAATATTTATCTTGATTACAAGCTTCTTATGTATGTATTCAATATCATTGTATTTCAGTAACTTCTACCGATCTATTGCAATATGGAAAATTCCAATATTTTCTTTATTTTGGTGAAATTTATTGTGCTCTTAAGCACAAATTTACCTTTTGAATAAATGAACTGATGAATTAAGAAACAAGCATTTTAAAAATTACTGGTTAATAGGATGCTTTAAAAATAATTTGAAATATTTTTTTATGTTCTGTTTTCTTTTTCATGTTCTATTTAAATATTCATAGTAATCTTTATTCTATTTGAAACTTTAAAGATCATAATTTTATAAATGTTATTCTTTTAAAAAAATAGTGTGGATCATTAAGTATGTTTTTCTTTTATTTATAATAAGCTATTTTTCATGGCATATGTAATTTGTATGTTTATTATATGTGAATATCACTTATATATTTAAATACTTGATATAAAAGTACAAATTATAAACAATTACTTTTCAGTACTTGGCTAGTGCTTTATTCTACCCATTTATTGTCGTCTCTAATGTTGTGATAGTAAATGATTGTGGGTGAGTATGTAATTTATTCCTTTATTTTTAAGTGTGGTTTTTTAAAATGCTTTTGGATTGTATTAAAACTTCCAGTATGAAAAAAAGTGTCTTTAGTAACCATTATAATTACTAAGCTTTCATACTGAAATAATTCGAATCATCATACAGACATATAATATACTGTTGTTTATAACATTCATTGTTACATTTCTAAATTTAAAGTTAACTTACTATTTTAAATATCTTTTGCAAACATTTGTAATCATGAAAAGTTACAGAAGGAAGTTTTGTAAAGAAGTCTTTATAAGTATTCTCATGTTGTGTGTGAAAATCTCAGATACTTTCTAATGATTATTTTATTAGGACACCTTAAATGCAATGTTGAAATTTTTCATTGTATTAGTTGCAAAATTTATTGTCAGAGAAATATGTGAAGAAAACTATAACCAAAAACTTGTCTGTTATTCAAATTCAATGCATATTATATATAAGTCTAAATGTGAATTTTTTTCCTTAAAAAATTATTTAGGTGCATTTTTAATATTTGTGCTCATTTTATTTTATTGCATGTGTAAGTTGAATCTAATATTTGAAGCACCTGATAAATGATAGCATGTAAAATGGTTTGAAAACACCAGATAAATGTTAATATGTAAAATGGAAATTTTACCTTTATTTTCCAAATGAATTATTACAGATTTGTTGGTGCCAAAATATGATCCAGATAAAGTTTAATAATTTCTAAGAATTTTTGATAGATTCTGTTTGCGGGATATATCATGACTATATATCATTACCTTAATATACATGACAATTGTGCAGATGTATTCATATGCTATAAACTTTATCAGTTTTGTAATTACTAAGGACAGTATCTTCTCTCTAGGTTAAAAGCTGGTTTGCCTACCAATATGCCAATATATTCAAGCTGGACTGACTGCTGGTCTCATCTGAGTGCCATAGTATGATTCTTTCCTTTTTTTCTTTTTCTGTCTCCCCCCCCCCCAATTTTTAAATTACAAATTGTAACAACGCATATTTGCATTTAAAAAAGTAAGTTTGATTTACTGAAAACTTGTACATATGACCTTATTAAAAAGAGGAAGATTTAAGTTTATTTAATATAAGCCATTAATGATGTCTGAAATTTGTACATTAGAAATGGATGATTAAGTTTGCCAGTTTTAGTGAGTAAGCATAGAGTCTGCTTTAAAAAGGGATTAACTTAATTGCGTGTGAGTGTGTGTATATATATCCTTTTGCAAGGTGAAATAGAAAATTATCAAATTTCCATTTTTTTACTTCCTTGTACGAAGTAAAGGGAGTTTTGTAATCATGAAAAATTCCAGGTACAGTCAAAAGTCGTTACGGACTCGTTGGGACTTTGGCGATTCCGGATTATAGATCATCAGTTTAAATCTCGTAAGATGGCATGCAGAAATTCTAAAATTAAAAATATGAAACCGTAATTTATGAAATAAAGAACAATTATGATCTAAAGGGTATCAAAATTTACAAAAAAAAAAAGCTTAATATTTATTTGTTTACTTTATTAAACATTTCTTTCAATGTAAGTTGTTTAAGTTGCTTCATTTTATGTGATAATACTTTCTCTTTAATTCTATCAACAGATATAATTTCTTGTTCAGTTACGAAGTTCCGCTGAAGTCCCGTAATTGCTGTGCCGAGAATACCGACTAACTTGTCAATCGAAATTTTTCGTTTTCACTAACCTCTCTGTCACCTTCTTCAAGACTTTATCCATTTTTTGCAGCAATTCCACTTTTTGTTTGATGGACATCGAACATACTTTCGTTTTGTAGATCCTTTGGGAGCTCCACCATCGGAAATTCTATTTGACATAATCGAAAGTTCAAGTTTACTTTTATAAAATTGCTCTTACAGTCTGCAAAAAATAATAAGCCGGATCCAATTTGAAGGTTAAGGAACAATGCAATCATCAACATTAACTGAAATAGATAATTAGATAATTTTAGCTTATACCCTCCGTTATACATAAAACGTGCACGCGAAAACGTATTCTGCACTTGTGCACACGCATATGCACAGTCGTAAAGGTCTTACGCTCACGCATAAACGCCTATGCGCATGTGTCAACGCGGCACATGTGCAGAAAGTTTTTAGCTTTGAGGTCCGGATTGTGAGTGTCCAAATTAACGACTTTTGACTGTACCATATTTCAAGGAAAATATCCATATTTACCACTACTGAATGCAATTTAATGATGATTTTGTGCAATATCTATATGTAACAACAGAATAAAGGACTCTTTTTTTTGCCCAAACACATTATAAAACAAATTTAAAATGGATTCAGAAGAGATTTTTTTGTGGTGTCTGTACGTATGTACGAATGTATCTCGCATAACTCAAAAAGGAATAGCTTCAGAATGTTGAAATTTTGTATGTGGGACTGCTATAACATACAGATGTGCATCTCCCTTTTTGGTAGCAATCGACCACACTAAAAGTATATATATATATCGATATATATATCCACTTTGTTACTCGGCTCAGTTTTTTTCCATTCTTATATGTTGGAAAATGGTGCATTTTTTTTTTTTTTTTGCTTTAAAAATGAATGAATTATGTTTTCTTATCTTCCAATTAAGCTTTTTATGCCTTTAGTTAACCTGCATGTTATAGTTGTGGAATTATCAACAATTTAAAATTTGTTTAAGTGCGGCTATGTCTAGTTTTTTTCATAGCAGCCATATTTGTTAACATTTGAAATTTAGCAGAATAGTGGATTTGTTGCCAATCTAGAGAAACTAAGCTTCACAACAACAGATATAATGTCTTTTGTTATTGTTAATTAAATCATGCTCAGTCCATTCTGAAATTAACACTTAAGTTATTAAATGACCCCATATATTGATTCAGCATAGCATCCACAACAAATGAAGTCAGTTTCTACGTTTTTAGTGTCTTTTCCCGAGTGGGATCAAAAGAAAACCTTTGGTTTTGTGCTTCGAAAAATCTGCCTGCCTGCTATTGAAAAAATTGCTTGCTTTTATACAGAAACTCTAATTTTATTTATAAAATTTTTTAAAAAATTATTTTTAAATGTATTTGGTGTTTTATGTTTTTCCATATCTTTATTTTTTAATGAAGATATTTTGAGTTTTCATATATGTTTGCCTTGTTGCAAAGTGAGAACTGAATTAATTAAATAAGAAATCTATCTTTAACGAAATTCAAGGAAATAAGTGTTTCGTATTAGTAGCAAATATTGTCCCCTATCTGATTCGGAGAAAGGAGAATGTTTACGAGTAGCACATGCACATTAGGTAAGCAACGCTAAATCATCTGGGAAAAACTGTTTAGTTTTTATTAATTAATTTTTAATTTCTTTCATGCATCATTTTAGATTTATTATAATATGAATAGAACATCTGTCAATGGTTAGATAATTCTTCAGATGATTATAATTTTTGTGCATTTTTAGTTATAAAATGAATGAAATATAACGCTATTAAATGAACCTAGCACCAGTGTTGCAATGCTAAATATAGTGAATTTTAAAGAATGCATTTATTCTATTGTGGTTTATGTGCTATCGATGAAGTAGAATTTGATACGTTTACAGGAAAAATGCATATAATTTAATCTTCCATACAAGGAAGTCATGTGTATACATCAGATTTTGTACTATTAGATTAAAAAAAAAAAAAAAACTGATGTGTACATCACATGACTTCCTTGTGCATAATATTAAATTATATGCAGTTTTTCCTGCATTTCATTGAAATTTACTTCCTTGAATTTCATTAGAGATATATTTCTCATTCAATTTATTCAGTTTTCACTTTGCGACAAGGAAAAAGGCGTAAGACCTCAAAATATCTTTATTAAAAATTTGAAAAGTATAGAAAAATATGAAACACCAAATACATTTAAAACAATTTAAAAAATTTGTTTTAAAATTAAAATAAGAGTTTCTATGCAAGAACAGTCAGTTCGGCCAGCGGACAAGAAGACAGATTTCTTTTTGTAAAAAACTGAAAGTTTTTTTTCTGTTCGACTCTGTAAAAGGACACTAAAGGTGCAGAAACTGACTTAATTCACTATTCTGCTAAGCTGAAAATGTGAACAAATATGGCTGCTATGGTAAAAAAATTAGACCTAGCCACACTTGAGCAACTTTTGAATTGTTGATAATTCTACAACTATTATATGCAGATTAACTAAAGGCATGAAAACCTTAACTGGAAGGTAAGAAAAACATAATTATCATTTTTAAAGCAAAAATTGCACAGTTTACCACTATAAAGATTAAAAATCTGAGCTCATGGAGCCGAGTAACAGAGTGGATATATATATATATATTCAATGTTGTATGATCTTAAATTATATACACACACACATGTTTGGTCCATTGATTGCAACCAAAAAGGGAGGTGCACAACTACATGCTATTGCAGCCCTGTATACGAAATTTCAATGTTCTGAGGCTATTCGTTTTTGAGTTATGCGAGATACATAAATACATACGTTTGTACAGACGTCACAAAAGAATTTCTTCTAAATCCACTTTAAATCCTTTTTGCAACTCGTTTTGGGGAAAAGAGTTCTTTATTCTGTTTTTTCGTACAGATGTCACACAAAAACATTGTTAAATTGCATTCAATGGCCGAAATGGATATTTTCATTGAAATATGACACCCGAAAATTTTCCTCATTATGATACTTCCTCTACTTTACAAAAAAGTAAAAAAAAAAAAAAAAGGAAATTTGATAATTTTCTATTTCACCTTGCAAAAGGATATATATATATATATATATACATATATATTAGCTAATTAATTTCAGTTTTCTGCAACTTTTTTTTGGGGGGGGGCATGAGGAACTGGGTAATCGGCAACTCGACCTTTTTTTGAAAATTATTATTATTTTTTTTAATCATCATACTTTTACAATGGACTGATATTCGACAGAAATAAAATATTTGATTTCTATCAATGGATGAAATTAGGAAAATAGTTGTTATTAATAACAGTTAGGTTAGCCTAAAAATTGAAAGATGTGTCAAGTCATAAAATTGATTTTGATTGAAGGCCTCCCATTTTTATGCTACCACATAACTTACAGCTGCATTCCCCAATAGTTCTGATTTACATATTCACTTGCTATTATTATTATTATGTGACAGAATAAGTAGTTATTTTGCTTGGAAATTTAAAACTAATATCATAATTTAAAATGCACAAATTGCTGTCTATTAGACTCAGCCTTTTAATAAAATTAAATATGCCTGAAATGGAAGTGATTTTAATAAATGATAGGTACTATATATGAAATTGCTAAGTATGTATTGAATACGTATATGGCTTCAGATTTCACAACATAATAGTAATTCTAAAAAATCTATTTCAGACTGAATGTCCTTATTTAATGCTTGCATATGCATATTATAGTAATATATAATAGTTTGAACCCATATTTTCTCAATAAATAGATCAATTATTTTTGAGTTTTAATGACTATCATATTCTCATTCTGATGGATAGTTTAATCATGATAGATTAATTTTTCTCAGTGTATAGTTATTTTACTCAAGAGTGCGTACTATTTGCAAATATTCATATCTGATTAAAAAAGGGAAAAACTAATCCAGTTCTAATTTTGTGTAATAATACTGTATACCTGGTGCACAAAAAATAATTGAAGATTTTACATGGATTTTTCTGTCCTTAATCATATCATACACCTGTATAATTTCTAAAAACATCTCTGCATTTCTCTTATATTTATAATAGTAAATTTCTTATGAACTAATTTGTTAAAGACTGAATTTATTAATCAGCACCATGCAAACTGAGAACAGAAAATTCATTACATTACCTAATTCTTTTTGAAAATATCTTATTGTAACGTTAATTCTGTTGAAGCAAATTTTTTTTCATGAACTTTTCTAATTCTCATATAAACTTTTTTTCGGGATGTAATTTAAATCTCTGTTTATTTCTTAAAGGGTCAGTTAAAAAGAGGCTCAAGTATCTTATGGAGGTATTATAGTGGGCCATTTATAGCTTCATATATGGAACCATCTGGACGTCGACCTTATGCTCATGCATTAGCCCTTACCAGGAAATGTAAGACTTAAAAATGTTATTTCTTGTGTAATTTTCTGTTGAGGTTTATGATGTGTAGCTTCTTTAGTTTCTATATTCACTTAGTTTATTATAATATACTTAAGACCACTGAACACTGTTAGTTTGACCTTGGTTAAGTACACTGAACATTGGTAATTTGACCTTGGTTTGTGTGGTACGAACTTTGGTATGTGTGGTTTGTTAAATGTATTTCATCAATCCAATTACTTTCAGGATAAAACCTGTATATAATTGCATATTTATTTTAAAGAAAATATTTAAATGTGCCATGAAAATGATTTAACTAATTGTATTTTTAAATTAAGCTCATAAAAGCAGAATTTTGGATAAACTTTAGATTTACAGACTAAGGCAAAACAATTTAAGAATTGCATACATATAATTACATACAGGGTGATTTACTACCAGGTCGACAAACTAACAGGGTGTGCAAGTGGTATAGAGATTACTCGGAATCACGCAGGAATGCAGGGTTGCAAATGCTGTAGTTGCGAGCTATGGTGCAAAGAAGCAGAAAAAAAGAACAGAAATAGCAACACATTACTGAGACAGAAAATATTTTATTGAAAGGTTGTACTACAACAGGTGTTCGGAATTACTAGCAGAAATCCTCAGGCAGACCTGACAGTGGTGCTGCATGGAATTCCTTACGTTTTGGAAGATTCCTCCGGGCAGTCTTGTGGTAGATGGTGCTGAACAGAAGGTTTCATGAACAGTGATCCTGCTGGAAGTTTCCATTAGTGATCTACACTCATGTCCATAAATTAAGGATAATTCGGAGTCACGCAGAAATAGAACTCTAAAATAAATATATCACCTGCAAAATCACTACACACATCTTTAAGAATCATATGCAAATTTCAGAAAGTAACCAAATGACACCAATGGTACGTCACAATGATGAGAGTGTAAGAGAGTGATATATAAGGAATACAGGCAAAGAAGTAAAATTGTTCGCAGCCGCTTTATAAGCATTTCAGTGCAATAACCAAATAGTTATGACACAAAGGACACATTTGGATGATTTTTTACGTGATAGAATTATCGGCTGTCTGGAATGTGGTCGTACCCAACTAGAAGTATAAGACGAACTTGGAATTGCGCAGAGTGTCATCTCCAGGCTTTGGCAACGATTCCAAGATGATGGTAATGTGAGTAGACGTTACAGCACAGGTCGCCGCAGAGTTACAACGCCGAATGAGGACCGGTATTTGGCAGTTTCTGCGAAAAGAAACAGGCGGAGCACAGCCTCAGACCTGTCTCGTCAGCTCTCTTCAGCCACTGGTACGACAACTTCAAGGCAGATCGTGTACAGATGCTTAGGGCAGATTGGTTTATATGTTCGTAGACCTGTCAGATGTGTTCCACTTACTGCAACTCACTGTCGCCTGCGGTTAGCCTAGAGTAGAGAGCATGCATTGTGGACACCGCAACAGTGGGCTTGTGTGATGTTTTCCGATGACTCCAGGTTTAGCTTGCGGTTTGATTCTCGCCGGACTTTCATATGGAGAGCTCCAGGTACCCGTTACCACCAAGAAAACATCATTGAACGACACCGTTACGGTGGTGCAGGAGTGCTCGTTTGGGGTGGAATTATTCTGGGTTCCAGAACTGACCTGCATGTTCAAATTGGAACCATGACAAGCCAAATCTATCGAGACGTCATTCTGGAACAACATGTACGTTTGTTTCGAGGCGCCATGGGTGCACAATTTGTGTTTATGGATGGCAACGCCCGTCCTCACCATGCAAACATCGTAAGCGAATGCCTTCAATCATAGGATATCACCCGTATAGATTGGCTAGCATTCTCACCGGACTTGGATCCAATAGAGCACGTGTGGGACATGCTTGGCCGACGAGTTGCAGCCCGTCAACCTCCTCCTTCATGTCTACTGGAACTTCGGAGAGCATTGCTTTTTGAGTGGTGTAATATCCCCCAAAATCAGATTGATAATTTGATACTCAGCATGCCTAGGCGTTGTACGGACTGTATTGCATCATCTGGGAGACATACAATGTATTAACAATCATACCAACCATGTAATATTGGTTTTTTGTAAATAGGTTTTTTTTTTTTTTTTTTTTTTTTTTTTTTTTTTTGTAATTTGCTGCCAGGGAGAAAAAAATCGCTATTTTTTTTAATAATATCAAACATATAGCATCTTTTTTTGCTCTTTACCTTTTGTTTAATAAATAAGCTTTACAAATAAGTCAAATTGTTTTGCTTCTAATCCTTCCTTTGCCTGATGTTGCATTATCCTTAATTTATGGACATGAGTGTATTTGAGGTAGTAGGATGAATGCATAGTCAAAGGATGAACTGGTCAACATGCTGATTGTATATGGAGCTGCACATTGTAATGGGCACTCTGCTCGGTGGTTGTACCAGGAACATTACCTAAACAGGCATGCTTCACATCACACTACCTTCGCAAGCGTGAACAGAAGGTTATGTGAGACTGGTTGTTTAATGAGGTTGTTTAAGAGCTACAATGAATCGACAGCAAACAATGATGACACCTGGCAATGAGGAGGTGGTCATACGTCTGGTAGAAGACAATCCAAGTACAAGTACTTGAGTGATAGCCCAACAATTGGGTTTTATTTCAATCCATTGTTTGGAGGATAGTCCCAGCAAACCAACTGAGTGCATACCATCGTCATCACATCCAATTATTAGAGTCTGAGGATTATCCATTCTGGAGGACATTTTCTGCATGGTTCCTGTAGCAGAGTGCTACAGACAGCGCAATTGCTGCATCTGTATTGTTCATGGATGAAGCGTACTTCACACGTGAGGAAGCTTTCAATCAGCATAATGCTCATATGTTGGCTTTGGAGAACCTTCATCATACACAATCATGTGCAGCAAGTGCATTTCTTGGTCTGTGTTTAGATCACCATTCTTGGAGACTACGTTATTGGACCATACCTTCTGCCCAGTGCTTTGGATGGTAGGGCATACCTGATCTTCTTGCAACAAGTCCTGCCCGAACTTCTTGATGCAGCACATGTTGCTTTACTGTTGCACTAGTTCACGTGGTACCAGCACGATAGGGCTCCTCCACATTACATGATTGACATCCGACGACACCTCGAGGTAACCTATGGATGGTGGTGGATAGATTTTGGTGGCTCAGTTAATTTTCCTGCCAGATCACCAGACTTATCATGCATGGACTTCTTTTTCTGGGATCACATGAAGAGTTTGGTGTATGAGACACCATTTCCTCCGGTTGAAGACCTCATTGTTCGAATATCTATAGCTGCCGGGAGGATATGTGACATGCCAGGAATCTTCCACAACATAAGGAATTCCATGCAACGCAGCTCTCAGGCCTGCCAGATGACATCTGGTTGTAATTTTGAACACCTGTTATAGTACAAGCACCTTAATAAAAGGTTTGTATATTAAATACAAACCTTTTATTAAGGTACACTATCAAATACTTATCAATCCCGATCATATTCACAAAAGTGCCACGTATCAGTTTATTCAGAAGTCCGTGTGCAATTCAACTTATGCAATGCATCTGCGACTTTTTAACATTTTAAAGACAAAAGTAATGAAATGCGAAATTTAGAAAGTGTTTATAAGCTTCCATTGATGATTTGTTCATAGCCTCCAAAGATTCTCAGAAACATTTGCAGGCATTTGAAAGCCTTATTTTCAAAACTTCAGGAATATGGACTTTGCAGAAATGATTCAAAATGCACCTAAGGAATCAAACATCTATTAATTTCTGAGGTTTTTTTCCACCTTGGTAAAAGCAGAATTGAACCTCTTCTTGACAAATTAAAAGGCATTTAAATTTCTCTCAACCAACCAACCTTACTCAGCTTTGCCAATTTTTAGGCATGTTTAACTTTTACAGATGGTTCATACTTAAAGCCGTATATATTCTTTCGGCTTTAATAAAATTGTTGGACGAACACATCAGTAAAAAGAAATCTCGTTTTCATGTTCATGATTCATCTGCACTGTTAAATTGTAAGGAAAATGCTGAACAAGCCTTCATTGTTGCGAAATTTGCCATTGTTCTGGCTACTCTTTTGAGATGCCCAACTACTGGAGGCCAGTAAAGCATCTGGATACATGCATCAGATGCTGCAGTAGGTAGCACTCTTATGCAGTTTTCTCAAGAAAAATGGGGACGTGTAGCATTTTTCTCTAAAAAGACTCGATAAAAGTCAACAAAAATAGTCCCTGTACAATAGAGAATTTTTTTCAACTTATTCTGCAACTAAGAAATTCCGAGATATGTTAGAAGGCAGGGGTATACAGATCGGAAACTATTAATATACGCTTTTAAGCAGAAATCCCACGAATGTTCACCTCAGCAACTACACCATTTACATTTTATTTCTCAGTACTGATTTTAGTGATGTTAAGGTTCTAAAAAGTCATTCATGTTGCTTTTTCAAGAATTAAAATTGATTTCATAATAGAATCTCTGTTTGATGTCTTAAAAATTTTCTGAAGTTGAACAGCATGATCCAGAGGTGTAAAACCTTCTCAAAACAATATGTCGTGAAGACATTCCAGTACTATGATAGTAATATTCTATGTAACATTTCTACAGATATTCCTTATCCTTTTCATCCAGATTCCTTTCTCAGATTCATATTTAAACATCTGTATAATTTATCACATCTAGGAATTGTAGCAAGCTGCAAAAATCATTTGTTCTCATTATGTATGATGTCATATAAAAAATTGAGTGAAATCCTGCGAATCTTGCTTAACATCAAAAATACAAAAGCATACTAAAGTACCACTGGGCGCATTTTCTCTTTCTGATGCACGTTTTACATGGTGCACCATGTACCTTTTGACTCTATCCCCAGTATGAAAATGGAAACCACTTAGCTATTTTCAATTCATGGCTATATCACTTTGGCTGCCCATCGGTCAAAACAACAGACAAAAGTTCCCAAATGAGATTCAAATGAGACCCAAAATTTATACCATTTTGGGTATAAATACAACTGTGGCTTTCCCTTCATTCAAGATTTATTGTTTACTCATGATGAAGAAGGACGTGTACTTGTTTGCCTTTGAAATCGATAGTGTATTGACTAAAATGTATGCCAAAGACAAGGTTGTTGCTTTGCCTAATTTTGTTTTACTTTGGCATTTTTGCGGCCAGCCTTTGTCTGGCTTTTAAATGTACCAAAAAAATGCCCAAAGGAAACATTAAATTTAAAAACTGCAGAACAACTTTATCAAAAAAAAAAAAAAAAAAAAAAAAAGGAAAAAGAGAATTTTAATAAAAATGTATTGTATAAAAAAATTACAATGGAATAAGCAATATCCTTTAACACAAATATTAATTATCCTAATAAATGAATTAACTAACTTTCCCTTTGAAAAAATCTTAAGAAGTTCAAATGATATAAAAGAAATTAAGAACTTTGTTTCCTAAACAAAATCATGGAAAATTTTTTATATAATTAAAATTATATATAATTAAAACATAATATAAAAAATGACAATAAAATAATTAATGAATCTCATATTGTCAAGAGAAAACAGTCAGCAGTCCAGTATCCTTGCGAGACACATGTGTGTCAGAATAAGAAGACTGTGATGTGCATGTTGCATGTACAGTCAAAAGTCGTTAATTCGGACACCCATAATCTGGACCTCAAAGCTAAAAACTTTCTGCACATGCGCCGCGTTGACACATGCGCATAGGCGTTTACGCATGCGCATAAGACCTTTACGCGCACACGCATATGCGTGTGCACAAGTGCAGAATACGTTTTCGCGTGCACGTTTAATGTATAACGGACAGTATAAGCTAAAATTATATAATTATCTATTTCAGTTAATGTTGATGATTGCGTTGCTCCTTAATCTTCGAATTGGATGCGGCTTATTATTTTTTGCAGAATGTAAGAGCAATTTTATAAAAGTAAACTTGAACTTTCGATTATGTCAATTTTCGATTCTGGAGCTCCCAAAGGATCTACAAAACAAAAGTATGTCTCGATGTCCGTCAAACAAAAAGTGGAATTGCTGCAAAAAATGGATAAAGACATGAAGAAGGTGACAGAGAGGTTAGTGAAAAACGAAAAAATTTCGATTGACAAGTTAGTCGGTATTCTCGGCACAGCAATTATGGGACTTGAACAGCGGAACTTTGTAACTGAACAAAAAATGATGTCTGTTTATAGAATTAAAGAGAAAGTATTATCACATAAAACGAAACAACTTACATTGAAAGAAATGTTTAATAAAGTAAACAAATTAATATTAAGCTTCTTTTTTTGTAAATTTTGATACCCTTTAGATCATAATTGTTCTTATTTGATAAATTACGGTTTCATATTTTTAATTTTAGAATTTGTGCATGCCATCTTACGAGATTTAAACTGATGATCTATAATCCGGAAAAATCGATAATCCGGAATCGCCGAAGTCCCGACGAGTCCGGATTAACAACTTTTGACTGTATAATTAATATTTTATCTCTTATTTTCAACAGTCAGCTGTCCAGTATACAAAGCATTGAATGAAACTGTTGCCAAAAACCACATTTCTAAAAGAATGAAACTATTCAAAATGACATGGTTTCATCAAAAAAGGTAAAATAAAAAAAATGTGATTCAAATTTTTAAAAAATTCGCTTTGAGGTGCACTGGCTCTTGTTTAGATGCACCTACGTACTGAATTTCGTAGCCCTGCATCTATTAGCTTACATACACCATGAACAAAAGACACACACAGGCAGACTCTTTCTTTTAATATATGTAGAGATATATGCAAATTGTTTCTTGAAAATTTGGTGTTTCATGTTGTCAATTTTTTTCAAAACTTCTGACTTTTACAGTCATGAGGTTTGCAATGAACCTTCTCGCTGCGTATCCTGCGATTTCCACAAGCAATGTAATAGTAGCAAAATTTGCGCAACCTGCGATTTCTGTGGGAAGGATTTTTTGCCATCTATTTAACTGTGCAGCCCTCTCTTTCCCCGTTCAAGGTTTCCTTTCAGCTTTCCTGTCATGTTTAATTATTTATTTAGATGTGGGCTAACAGATGGCGTTAGTTGTCCGAATTTCTGCCGAATATACAAGAATGGGTAATGTAGCATTTTGTGTGCGCTTATCAGAGCTCAAAGATGTCGTGCAGGAAGTGTTTCGTGAGTGATATAGCCTATATTCCTGATGATATTTCTGACACTTATAGTAGTTCTGACTCTGATTTCAAGTATATTTCTTGGATTCCTCTGCAGATAGTGATGAATCTGAGAATTCAGTTTCTATTGAAAACATTCAGCAATTGTGCAAAATTGATATGCAAAATATTACATTATGCAAATATTTTCATTAGTATATATGTTTTACCTTTGTATTTTATAAAATAAATCATAATTTAACCAATATAAATTTAAAAAATTTCCCTTTTATATCATTATTCTTCAATTTCAGTATTCTGGTAACCTTTTTCTATGATTTAATTCTATATTGATTTTATTCTATATTCTATTTACAAATTTTTTTTGTATATTTTAACTCTAAAATATATGTAGATTTGAAATAATGTAATAAAAAAATATGCAATTTTTGAACCTATTTTGATAAAAAAAAAAGTATGCAATGAGAGGGTTAAGTTGCAAAATCAGAAAGTAAGATGTAACCAGAAAGTACCAAAATTTTCTGTTTACGTCCGTTTTTCCATGGCGTTATTGTACTTTTAGAATTTGTTATCTTTATTGAATGTGTATTTTTGCCTTTATGAAATTACCAATTGTTTTAACTTTATTCTGTTTTCTATTCTTTCTTTCAGACTAGCAGATTTAAATTGTATAATCTGCTCTTAACATTGAATATTCTGCTAAAGACTTGTAGGAAATGTGGTAATGCTAGACATGTGTATTTAATTCAGTCAATCATTTTAATTTTAGTCAACCTTTTATTTATATTTTGTTAATGAAATCATTAAATAACTGAATTTATTTTCATCTTGTTTGTTCATTCTTTTTGTTTAATTTGTTTTTCAGTTACCTCGGTTAGCGTTCCCCCTTTTGAATTTTCATTATGTAAGAAATATGAAAAACATAAGTATTGAATCCCTACATTGAATTGAATATTGAATTACCACATTCTGTGCGGTAGCTTCATTGGCAGTTGCCTTGAAGTAGAGTGGGTGAGTTTGCATTAATCTCAAAAAAAAGAGAAATTGGGTAATAAAATAAAAATAGCATTTTTCATATAATTTTTATAAAAGCTGAGATGTTCAGTCTTGAAGTAACATCAATCTTGTGCCTTGAAAATGGTACCTTCATCCATAACTTTTAATCTTAGTGTAGCATAATATCAGAATTTGGCAGCTTATTTTAAATTAAAAATATTGTCCATGCATTTGTAACTAATTAAAGATTTTTAATCCATATGCACATTAGATGCACAATATATATATATATATATATATTTGAGGTATGTCTGAATTTGAAGTTATTACTCCTGCTAACTCAGCATACAGTTACTATTTAAAAGCCAAATTTTTTGTAATTTTTTGATTAGTAAACGTTTATTTAATCCATCTTAAACAATTTATACTTCCACTCTTTTTTTTATTTTTTATGAAGGCATTGTTCCTAATGCAAATAATCGTGGAAGTGCTTAGGGATAATAAATATTTAGGTTGTTTAGATAACTTTTAGTAGAAAATATTTTTAAACATAATTACATTATTCTTTTACTTATATCAATTGCGTTGACTTTGAATGATATTTTTGAAGAACTGGAAATAATATTTTTTTTAAAACATTTATTCTTTGAGGAAAATTTACAAATATTAAACAAAATTGTAACAGAATAACCACAGCAATAAAATATTAGTTCATTGCTTTGTTACCTTTTGTTTTCTTTTTTAAACTTTTGTGTATTAGTAGTACGTTTTAGGTAATGATATTTAAAATACAGGATTGAGATGTATAACTTTGAAGGATATGTATAGCCTTTATATTATAATGTTTAATTTACTTGATGGTTTGTATTAATTATATAAGAACAGGCACTTTTCTCATATTTAATAAGCACTTTTGTTTTGTGAAATTACTCTATTTTAAGAAGGATCATTTTATAAGAAAATCACATTTGAAGACTTGAAATTAACATTATTAAAGTAGAACACCACATAATTAACTTTTCATAATTTACTTATAATTCTATATTGAAAAATAACCCCTTTTTGATTTCAGACAAACTAGATCACTGAATTACTTTGAAATTGTTTTAAGGCTATCCTGAAGGAGTGCAACTATGAAAAATTATTATAATTGTTGTTAATATTACATTGCAGAGTGAAGTTCTTATTCTTCTTTAGAGGGATCAAAGTAAAATTTTAGTGTATTAAAAAAAAATTAAAATGCTTGAAATCTGAATGCAGAAAATCTAAGGGGAAAAGTTCTAAATGTAAATTGTCTAACGAGTGTTTGCTGGAATAATTACCATTAGTCATAGAGTTGATTTGAATGAATTTAAATCAAAGACTTAAGTTAGCAGAAAATACGTATTTTTTCTTTGGAGCTAATTTTATGAAAATTCGAGCTGGTTTTTGGCCAATTATAAGATTCTTAAGAAATAAGCTCAGTATATTTATGGCCATTAAGAGTTGCACTGTAAATATTTTTATGCACATTATATTTTATCAATATGTACAACTAAAAAAAAGGCTTTTACAAGCAACAATTTTTTAAAAGTAACTTGATAGATGCTTTTAATTATTAAAAAAATTTTTAATCATGAGAAACTGAAATTTTTTGCCTGTTTATCACTTTTGATTTTATAAGCATGTTATATATAGTAATATAAAAAAATTCAAATCTTTTTTATTAAGAGTTGAATTAAAATTATTCAAGCTATAGGAGTAACACAGTCTCAACCAATTGAATTTACTTACCAAAAGTTATAGATGAGTTCTAATATTTTAATTGAATTTAGAATATTATTGTCAAGTTTTTTTTTTTTTAAATTTTGTTTCTAATGGCAAATCAGTAAACAACTGTAGTCAGACATATTGTTAAGTTTATGAATGAAATAAAATGACAAAGCTCTTAAAACCTACCAATGTGATTTTTATTACGTTTTAAAATTATAAGTAATATATAGAAACCAAAATAAATGTATAAAAAATGTAAATTTAGGAAAAATAAGATGGAATGGAAGTTTTTTTTTTTTTTTTTTTTCTTTTCAGTTTTTATTTAAAATTTTTTCTCAGATATAGTGATAATGAAAATTAGTAGGCAATTTACTAGGCATGTGATGTAGTAGTTGCAGGTAAAAAAAAAGAAAGAACAAAAAGAATAATATTTTTTCAAGCCCATTGCAACAAAAATCTTTATTGGTTCTATTAATTAGGCTAAATGTCATTCATTCAAGTTATGCTTTTAAGAAAGATGAAATTGTTCATCTTTTTCCTACCCTTTTTAATGTCTACTTACAGAGGATTTTGAAATTTGCCTCAAATCTTTCATATCAGTTCATAAATCAATAATTATGTCATTATTTCTCTTACATTCTGTGTAATATTAGTGTACAAGTAAAAATCAGATTTGTAGTGTCTTCCAAAGTTTGGTCTTGTTTTATTATAATGTTAAAAGATTTCTTCATATGTACACTTAGTTGTTGTTAATAAATTACTTTATATATTATGTGCTTTTGGTTAATAAGAGCAGTGTTTGCATATGCTAAAATTTCTAGAGTCTTGTAAGTTTTACAAACTTGTTTTTCATTTATCTGCTTTAGTCTGAATGTGCTTCATACAGAGTAAGATTTTGAAGCAAATAACCAGTTACGCATACATCTTGGAATTATTCATGAATTTAACATTACTGCAGGAAATTAAGAATTGCAAACCTTCAAACATTAATATATATTGCAGAATATTACATAAGAGCAAACTTCCAGCGATGAATTCAAATGTATTCAGTTGTCTTTAACATTAAAACAGTGTTTCGATGCACAATTCAGAGCTTACATGATCATTTCTAAGAATTTTGGATCGCTGTTCATTTATGATATTTGTAATTAATATTCAGCTATTTACCAACTATATAACAATGAGTGTAGACTTGCCTATTAACATGCTAGAGGCTAGAGAATGAATCAGAATGTTTTATAAATAACCTACTCTTGAAAAAGGGCTATGTTCCTTGTAAACACACATGTAAATCTGAAACACTGAAAATCCACATCTGATACATGAACACATTTGAAATTGTCCTAAGATCAGTGTCTGATGCTGTCATATGACTAAGAAGATTTTTGGTCCTTTCTCCTTTGTTGAAACTAATATTAACTACTAATGTGTACTTACTTGGACATGCTACAGTTCTGTTTCCTCAAACTGAGCAAACAGAATTGAAAGATGCCAAGTTGTAGATTTTCTTTCACCAAAATGGAGCATCTGTTTCCTGGATGGTGGATTAGCAAAATTGTACCTATCTCATGGCCCACTAGAAGTCTTGATCTTATTACCTCATTAGGCTTGTTCCTCTGTAGTGTTGTCAAAAATGAGGAGTACAATCAAAGAATAGATAATCTTGGTCTCTTCAAGAGAAGACTGACACAGACAATTACAAGTATATCCTGAAGTGTTTTTGCCAGGATATAACTGAAATTGAGTTACTGTTGTGACTTCTGGGTTGTTAATGATGCTCATACTGAAATTTACTAATTTTACTTGTGATTTTTTTTTAAGGTTTGAGTTAAATAAAAGTTAAGATTTAAAACTCTTTCACATACCCACATTTATTCTTGGAGATAGCAAGTCAGCAAGAGTTAAGCAGCTTTCATTTTTACAATCGGTAATGATGGAAGTATGTCTCCAGCTAGAGAAATGTTTTAAATAATGCTAATATTTATGCTTTGGTATTTTAAAATTTAAACAGTCGTCAGTCTTGTGTGGAAATTACAGAATTTATGATATAGTCTCCCAGTCCTTATATTTATTTATAGTAAAACTTTAACAATTTAAAGAATCGATCTTGTGAAAATTATGAATTCTTTTTATACAATCCCTCAGTTAGTATATTTCATATACAGTAAGACCCCGCTTAACGCTGTTTCGTTTAGCGCTGTTTCGGTTTAGCACTCTTTTATTTCAACCCGGGGATTCCACGAAATCGCTCGCAGCATACGGGGATTCCCCGAAATATTATGCAGCGATAGGTTTCAAATACATATCCGAAAGAGTGTACTTGTATTTCTTGTTTGGTGCGGTATTGTACAGACATATTTTTATTATTGGAAACATTCAATTCAAGAAGCAGCGGCTAGTCTTTCTAATGATGAGCTCAAGGAATTAACTGAACAATAAGAAAACAAAAGTGTTGACAGCAGTGATTCAGAAGAAGAGCAAAAAGAACTTTCGATGGCGTTTGTAAAAAGGAGTTTGTCTACCATAACTGAAATAATGGATCAATTCATTGAAAATGATCCAAATTTTGACAGGAGCTCAAAAGTAAGGTGTGGTGTTAGGAGATGCTCTATCCGTTTATGAAGAACTTTTAAGAGAACAATGCAAAAGAAAAAGGCAAATAACATTAGATGCTTTTGTCACAAAAAAGGCAGAACACTGAAAACGTGGAAGGCCTAACTAAATATGACCGACTTAGAATTTTATTTGTTTTTTTTTTTTTTAAGAATATTCGTTTTGTTATTGATATTTTGTTTTTATTTTTCCAAGAAAAAGAAATAATAAGTGGTATTAATTTGGGCTTTAAGAAATAAATGTTTGGTTTTATTTTTATTAAAAAAACATACTTTTTAAATTTAATACCTAACCAATTTCCTAGCCATCTTTCCCTAACCCCAATATTTACATGTAAAGATAGCCTCGTTTAGCGCTGTTTCGCATTACGCTCTACTTTGATGGAACGTATCCCCCGCGTTAAGCGGGGTCTTACTGTATAGTAAAAATTTAAACATATTATAAAAAATGAAATACAAAACATTTGATTTGTGTATACATAAAAAATTAATAGCAAATTTTAACTTCAAAATTTTGCAGTTTTTGGTATAATTAGAAGGTGGTTTCTTCTTTTTAATATCAATATGCTTATTCTTTTGTGAGATACTAGCATGTAACATTTTTTCAGTTATAAATTTGTTGAATTTGATATGCTGAAACATAATTATAAACATTTACACATATAATTTATACATTATCTAATGCTAAAAATGTATGAATATTTTCATAAAGTTTTATTAATTTAGAATCATAATTTTTGGAAGAAAAACCTATAAAGATGTTGAATTTGTAATTTTTAAAAGATTGAATTTTTAAGTTAAAATTGGAAAACCATTGCTATTTGCATTACTTAAAATGCATTTTTAGCTGGAAACGTGTCCATGACCGACAGTTGTGAAAATAAAAGCCTGATTAGGACATTTATGGGCACAAGTGTATGTATGCACATATAATGACTGACGTATGCTGTGCTATAATCTATTTGTAAAGAAACTTTGCATGCAAATGCAATTTAATCTGGACAATGAAGACTTTCTAGAGCTTTTGTGCATCAGAACTAAATATTCTAAAAGTTTATTAATAAGTGAAACTTAATTTTAAGGACAAAACTTCCATTAGATTTTGGTTATGGCTGCCAACCTTGACTGATAATGTATATCTAAGATTCATGCTTATTATGAACATTTGTCACAATTTGAAAGTGGTTGTGTCAGCAGGCTGAAAGAAGCTGGATATGGAAAGAAAAGAATGATGTGGTATTCAGATCATGCAGTGTGGTACTTGGATGATATTGGTAGGAATGAATGAGTTAACAATGGCAGGTTTCAGTATCAAGAGTGCAAGAGTCAGTTTAGAATGATGGCATGAAAGGAGGACAGATTGATCATTACAGCCTTTGATTTAGCTCTATCAGTGATCCAATGTGTGGATGAAACAGAACTTAAGTGGATGAGCATTCAAGAATTCATCAGTTTTCCTTGATGAATTCTATTTTGAACCCAGTTTTGATGACCGTCATAAATTTGATGGAGATGTCTAGCCCTCCAAGCATTTAGTCTTGAAATTTCAGAGTTCCTCAAATTGTCATGAATAAGTGATATTTTCTTGATTTTAATTAAAAAATGACTATCTCGTTTTGTATCTTGATTCTTTTTCTTCCAATATACATCCAAACCAAAATCAGATACATTTAAAAGCTAGCAGAAATTTTCATGTATAATGAATATAGAAGACAGCCTTCTGTACGGAATTTTCCAGCCGTAACGCTGAGGGCTAGGATAGTACTGGATTTTAATTTTTATTGTAGCATGCTGCACAAATTAACAGCAGAATGTCATTTCTTTTTATAGCTGGGTTTTTTTGGTTCCATCCTTACAGCACAGAGGTACATAAATAAATAAAATTCTTTCATCTATCATTTTTCTATCTCTTTTAGGGCATATGTAAGTGAACTTACCTTTCAATAACTTAATGCTCGAATACACTTAGCGTGCATATCTACTGGTTGCCTTTAGGACCGTCAAATACTTCCAATGCTACCTACTTTACTAGATGTCTTCCTCGTAGAGCACATTTGGTAGTTGATAGTAATGTAACTTCAGCCATTTTAGAATTAATCACACTTCACAATTTAGTGGAATAATGGTGTAATGCAACGTGCAACATTAGTGTTAGCAGCTGATTACTTGCAGTACATTTAAAGGCAAAATGACGAGATATTGCAGCCTATATCAACATATACTATTGCTTTAATGTACCATAAAATGACATTTTTTATCAAGATAAGACATTGCTACTCAAAACTAACATTAGTTTAGCTCCTGAATGTTAATTGAATTTGATATATATTTATTAATATCTCTTTTTGTTATTAAACTTGCTTGATTCCTTCTTCCAGAATTCGAAATTTATGCTTAATCTAAATATAATTTGCACATTTTTTATTATTATTTTTTTAAATTTGTATTTTTAAATATTTTTTTAATAAATTTTTCGAAAAATTTTTATATTATAACCTAAAAACTTTTAACATCATCTTAAAGTAGATTTAATTCTAAGCTTATCTGCAAAAAATTAGAGTTTTCTATTCAAAATTTTCTAAGATTTACATTTTGGCGTATTTAATATAAGCGATAATATCGAAAATATGGTTTAGGTGGTTTTTAAAAATTATTCTCATGCATCAATGAAAAATAAGGAAAGTATGTAGGTTACTATAAATTAAGAATTTCATCAAGTGAATTATTCTTGGCACAAACTGGGGGGGGGGAATCCACCAAGATAAATTTTTAAATTTCTCTATAATTTTCTCACCAAAAAATTACAAAATTTAATATTTAGACATAATTTGAGTCTTAGAATTGAAATATGGAAAGAAAATGGAAATATAATATATATCTTAAGTCGAGCTTTCAAGACATTTTTTTTCACAGTGTACATTTGCTGTATTTTAAGACATTAAATTGACATACACTTTTATTTACAAATAGTTACAAATATGCTAACATAATCATAGTTTCTGTATATTGCATATGACTTTCAGCATTTCTATAAATGCTTGGAAACTTTTTGAAATTTTTTCATTTTAAATTGCAATATTTATATCAACCACTGATGCTGATGTGTTACTGAAGAAAATGGAGACAATTTCCATTAATGCAAAGTAAGTGCACGCAATACCTCCTGCTATTCCTACAGCCATAACTTGAATAAGGAATCCTTTTTCAGAAAGAGAGATTTTCCTGAAAAATAAATATAATTTTAATATTTAGTGCTGATATAAACTTCATTATTTATGATTCAAATTATAAATTCATTTCTTAATCTTTGTAATAATAATGTTGCCTTTAATGAAGTTTTCATCGATTATTTTCCTATACATTGAGGTAATATTTTGACAGAGGTGCACTTTAACACTAGATTGCCCAAGGAAGTCATTTTGACTGCTTTTTAATTTCAATTAGAAAAACAATTATGTATATAATGACACAATTTCTTAGAATTTTGTGCAACATGTAAATGTGTTTATTAATAATTGTAGTTATCCCCCTTCTTTCATTTCCGGTATATATATGTGTTATACCTACATTGCCCAAAAGGAAAAATTTAAATAATCAAATGACTCTTATTATTAAATTGAGTAAATTTCTTGTATGACCAGTTCGGGCTCTGTATTAAAATAACAGTTTTCATTTTTTACTTCCTTGTACGAAGTAAAAAGGAAGTATTGTAATCGCGAAAAGTTTCAGGCAGCATATTTCAACGAAAATATCCATTTTGACCGGCTATCGAATGCAAATTTTTAACGATGTTTTTGCGTGATATCTGTACGTAAGGACATAATAAAATACTCTTTTTCCTTCAAAAAAATTATAAAACTGCTTTAAAATTAATTCTGAAGAGAATTTTTCGTGGCGTCTTTGCGAACATATATACGTACGTGCGTACGTACGTGCGTGCGTACGTACATATCTCGCATAACTCAAAAACGAGTAGCCTCAGAACGTTGAAATTTTGTATGTAGGACTGCTATAACATGTAGATGTGCACCTCGTATTTTGGTTGCAATCGGCCGCACCAAACGGCCGTTTTTTAATACCGTTTATAAATATATCCACTCTATTACCCGGCTCAGTGATCAGTTTCTTTACTCTTATATGTTTATAAATTGTACATTTTTTGCTTTAAAAATGATTGAATTATGTTGTTTTTATCTTCCGGTTAAGGATTTTATGCCTTTAGTAAATCTGTGTGCAATAGTTTTAGAATTATCAACAATTTTAAAGTTGTTTAATTGCCGCTAAGCCTGTTTTTAATGGCGGCCATTGATATTTACATTTGAAACAGGAGACTAGTGGATTTGTTGCTAATCTAGAGAAACTTAGCTTCAACAAAGATAACGCATTCATTTATTATTACCAATTAAATCATTATTAATTCTTTCTGGAATTTTTTCGAGGAAATAAGCGTTTGAGATTTACTTCGTAATTTTTAATATAGATATTTTGAGTTTTTATGTGTTTTTGCCTTCTCGCGAAGTGAGAACTGAATTAATTAAATGAGAAATACTCAAACGTCTGTGAAAAACTTATTCTTTTTTGTTTTGTTTGCTTAATTTCTTTTATACATAGTTATAGCTTTATTATAGTATTTGAATAGAATATGTGGCACCTATCGCCAGAGTGTTGCTATGGTAAAGAAAGTGAATTTTAAAGAATGCATTAATTCTATTGTGGTTTATGCGCTGTCGGCGAAGTAGGTTTAATTCAATCTAATAAGTTTAAATAAAATGCAAGAAAAAATGCGTATAATTTAATATTCCGTACAAGGAAGTCGTGGTGTACACATCAGATTTATTTTCAATTACCGTCGCATGATAACATACAAGTACATGATAAATTGTCGATTTGAGTCTATGCTTGATAAGTTGCATTTTCTCAATAAGCTAAAGTAGTAGTACTTGTTATTCCAATCTCAGTGAACACGTTGTTCTGAAACTTGTTGAGCCATATGGAAGCTGTGGAAGAAATGTCACAACCGATAACTTTTCCACTAGCATGTCACTTGCGACAAAATTATTTGTCAAAAAAAAAAAAAAAAAAAACAACTCTAGTTGGTACTATTAGAAGAAACAAAAGTGAATTACCCAAATCAGCCAAACAAATGAAGGATAACTTGCCTCTTTTTTCCACTCTGCTACATAAATCAGAGAATTGTGTTCTTACAGTGTATAAAAGCAAACCAAATAAAAGAGTGGCTGTTCTAAGCATAAATTTGTGAAAAATCATAAAAGTAATAAAAAAATGTTACCAGAATCTATTCAATTTTATAACAGCCCAAAATGTGGAGTTGATATGACCGATCAAATGGCCAAAAAATATACAGTAAAAACTAGTTCTCTTGGATGGCCCCTCCAAATATTTTTCAATATTTTAGGTTTGGCTGCTATAAATGCTTGGATCCTTTACGAAGAAATGACAGGAATACAAATGCAACGAAAAGAGTTCTTGTTTCAAATAGCAGAACAGCTTTCAACCGAATACAGAGCTGCAAGATGGAAAAAGTCATCATAATATGAAGGCTCACAAAGATCAACTGCGACATCAAGATGCAACTCATTCTAACAAATGCAAAATTTGTCAAGTACGACTTTGCAACAACAAAACAAGTAATATATGTGAAAAATGTCGAAAGTATGTTTGCAGAAGATGTACATATAAAAAGATTTCCACTTTCATTTGCAAAAACTTTACAAATAATAATGCATAAATTATTTTTTTTCCAAGTGAAGTAATTTTTTTATTGTTAATATTTACTAATAACTTGTTATATAACTGTAAATAATATTAAAAATTAATTTTAAACAAATTTCTTTACACATAGTTATTCTTTCACAATGCAGTCATTTTGACCGTTTTTGGGCCATATAGGTATATACTGAGTTTCAGTCCTTCTAGTGAGTTCTTTCAGTCTTTCTAATTCGTTGCGACATCGAATAGACCTTGGCTATGAGTTTTTTATATTTTGTTAACTCTTGTCGTTAAGGGTCAGTACCATAATGGAAAAATGACTGCAGATTTCAACTAACTGAGAAAATACTGTTTAAAATTACTTCTTGTATATTTCAGATACTGATTTTTCTGCCTAGATCCCGACTATAATATTTCTCACAGATAAAGCATTATTTGATAGTACTAGTTTCGGATTACACGTTCGCCAGACCACCCCTAGAACCAGGCCCAGGGGCTCTGTCCTCGCACCTTGGAGAGGATTGACACCAGCCGCCGAACGGCGACGCTAGTCGGCCTATTTGCTACCTACCAGTCGCTCCCTCTTTGCTTCACTCAGGAACATTACCCAGCGTACCCAGAATACTAACCCCCCGGACTACTAGAGCCCTAAGCTCTAGGAGCTGCTATTGACAGTCCTAGAAATCCCCGTGAAATGTTTTTAATGATGCATATCATTTACCTATACATTATTTTAATTTGAAATATGACAGTAATTCTCAGTCAGCGACTGTATAGTATTCCGACTGCTGATGACACGTTCTTCTTTGTTTGTCTTTTGAAATTCGTATAAATTTATTAATAACATGCGTTAATGATGTAAGCGAAAAAACTACGCTGACAGCGAGAGACTTTATAATTGACCGAGCTATTGCGAAGAGAAATGTTGCCTGTTCCAGAATTAAAGCCCAAGGAACTTGACATAAAGAAATCCGGACGTGGAAAAAATCTCAGATGAGAAAACGAAGAAAAGGGAAGAAGAGAAGTACCAAAAGGAGCAAGACAATCCAATCAAGTTCGCAAAACGTGACGAGCGATCGTAGCTTTCAAGGAAGATCCAAGACAATGCAAATCAATGACAACAATATAGAAGATACAACTACAGCAATGGTTCCAATGACAAATTCAAATAAACTAAACAACCTCAATCAATAGTGCTAAATACAACACAGTACAATACAACTATACAACCCAATTTAATACAACTATTCAACGCAATGCACTACAGCAACTCAACAACAACCTATTTACAACACTACTATATCATCACAATGCGAAAAATCTCACAGCATTAGTTTTATCAATCTCCAAGAACAATATTCAAGCTACAGAATAACTTCAATCAAAATCAGATGCATTGGAAGTGTAAACAGCTACCAATTGAGGAGCTAAGTGAAAAAAGTTGTCGTCTCCTCCTATGAAGGTGTGAGCTGCAAGTGGTTTGAGGCTTCTATCTTCGTAGAGAATTTCATAATTAAAGACTCGGGAGTAATTAACAAAGTCACATTGCATAGCTTTGTTGAAGAATTTTTCATTAGATCTTCTGATGTAATCTGAAATCGTCTCAAGTTTTAAGTCTCTGTGTAAAAGTTCATTGAGGATAAGATAGTGTGAATCAGTAATAATGCACAGAAATTTGTTTTGCACTACTTGTAATTGATGCAGTTGAGTTTGAGTGACCGTGTTCCAAGCAGGAGCAACATAACAAAGTATCGGTGGAATGCAAATGGTATAAATATGTTTTTTTTTGGTATGCAAGCTAAGATTTGAATATTTTCCAATGACCGGGAGAAATCTGCATATTATGCCCATGGCTTTGCTCTTGACACTATTAATGTGGCTAGGCCAAGTGAGCCTTTGGTTCAAAATAATTCCTAAATATTTGGCCTTTGTGACCAGAGGAACACTCACACTTTGTGACCTGAAAAAGGTAGAGATCTTTAAAAGCAATGTTTTTCTTAGTTTTGCTGAGAATTAAAAGTTGTGACTTGCTAGCATTGATTTTTACGCGCCAATTTGTTCACCAGTCTTCTACGGCATAGAGGTAATTTTGCATTTTGTCTATTGCATGATTAGCTTGGATGGATTTAATTGCAATCGCCGTATCGTCGGCATAACATGATAACAGAGAGTAATTGTCCAAACCAGGATGAGGAAAATCTGATATATAGAAAAGATATAGCACTGGACCGAGAATACTTCCTTGTGGAACGCTGGATCTTATATGTCTTGAATTGGATTTTTCATTTCCTCAAGCGACGAGGAAAGTGCGGTTCTGCAAAAAGGAGACGATCAGTAGAATGAGTTCTCTGGGAAGTCCCAAGTTGATAAGCTTGAAGACGAGCCCCTCATGCCAGACGCGGTCAAAGGCTTTTGCCACGTCCAGCATAAGGAGCGCAACACTTTGCTTGTTATGGAATGCAGATCCCATAAATTCTACAATTCTTACTAGT